AAAAAGAATAAGGATAAATCTGGGCAAGTCGTGTGCGACTGCCTTGGCTCTTCGTGTTGCCTTCCAATGGTTGATGCTGATGTTTTTCCTTCTTGGTGTAATTGGAACATCTTCTGAATATGGGCCTCATAACTTCAGGAGGAAGGTTATGCATGAGGCTGGTAGGTTTGAGACTCCTGAGTTTAGTATCGGGGTCCCGTAAACCAAATGCGCAAAAATCCAAGTCATTCCATGTGACTTGTTCACGGTTCATCAATTCAACAATGGATTTAAGAGTCCATATCTTTGACTTTTGAGGATTCTCTATAATAAAATAGAGTCCTCTACTAAGCTGGTATCTTGCAATTGATGATACAAAGTCGATCATCGGCAAATACTTGGCTCTCTTCTCTGCGACAACCTTCGGGTCATTGATGTTCTGCATGATGGACCAAGGTCCGCACACTGATCCTAACCATACAACATCGGGTTGTTGTTCACGGATTATATCAAGGACCATTTGACGCCCTTTTGACGTCATGATGTCGAAGCCTGTCCTGATATCAATAGGTGTTCCAACCTTTAAACCGGTTAATGCACAGCACTGACTCAGTCTTGCACTGCCAGCGAAAACTTCCAACACGTGGATCTTTCCCTTCGTGACGCAATTCCAGTTCGCATTCTGTTGCTCGCAAGTATGGTCTTCAGTAAAGAGGCCTGTCGATGATGAAGGCTCTGAATCCACGGAATCTGGTTCTGCTACGGCAGTTTTCTTAAGAATCCGTTTCTTGGCTGGTCGGTCTGCTGCGCTGGCCTGTGACATAAGGTCCTTATGAAGATCATCATCGGAGGATGGTAGGTCAAGTCCTGGTTTTGATGGCGATCTGGTTTCATCCTTCCGCAACTTCGTGATGTTGACCTTGAGCAATCTCGTTCCAAGGTCTATGCCAACCATGGTGCCATCTGTGGATATGACCTTTCCTTTTAACCACATTCCTCCTTTTGATCCATCTGGTTTAATTTTTGACTTGTCTTCACTCCAATAAAATACTCTGTCGCCAATTACGATTGGCTTGGAACTAAGTCGCAGGTGTTGTGCAAGATCTCGGCGTACGTCTTCAGATTGTCGAGCTTCTTGATAAGCTTGTTGAGCAAGTAGCCGAATCTGTCCAGCAGTTAGTTCTTCCTGTGTCCTAGGGACTGTAAGTTGTGATGGTGTTGCTATGTCCAATTGGACCAGTTCTGCTGGCCTGCGTCCAAACGCTAATTCCAGTGGAGTGACTCCGCCATATGTGACAGAGAGGTTCCGTGCTGTTGCTGCTGCCTTGACAAGTTGCTAAGGAAACAGGCCGTATATCAAGACTGTGAAAGAATATTTCCCAGTTCTCAGTCATGAATGCCTGATCACCAACGACACATCTTGGCTGGAGATGATATTGATCAAAATAGTTCCGTAACAAAGGAATATTGGTGACATCAGTGGTTCTCTCTACGACTTCTGTGGTTAGAAGTGTAGTCGCTCCATCAAGGATCACGAGAACGTTGATGTGTTCACCAGTTCCTAGCGGAACCTGACAATGATCAATAAAAGTCAGCTCTCCAAACGTTTCGGCTCTCAAACCGCTCGTCTTGCTTCTTGATGGTGCGATTGAGGCCTTCTGACAGGGTTCACATTCGGCTCGAATCTTGTCATAGAGGTCATATATCGCCTTCGGCAGGTGCAACGCTCGGGTCCTGAACTTGAATTGTTCTGTTGACATGTGGTGATGTTGTAGGTGAAGTTTGCGAAGTTCTTCCGGTTTTGAAAGTCGTGTATGAATGCGTTTTAGTGCTATTGGTAGTGTAGCCGCTTGAGCATCCGGTGGTGCTTCTTGTAGTGCAGCAGGATCTGTTGGCTCTGTGGCATGCCGACCTGGTGTTGGAATGATCCTGTCTGCTGGCTTGTCAATGTGAATTTGTTCTGATGTTAGCGGCTTGTCAGAGAACGTGAATATGGTCGAACCTGTCCACAGTTCTGCAGTGCTTGGCGATTTATTCTTTATTCGCCAGTTGTCTTCGAGAGTGGACATTGGTTCTTTCGTCTCTGGATTAAATCTCTTGGTCGTTCTCTGATTATAGATCTGTGTGTGAGCGATTGGACATGTTTTGCTGGTGTCAGGTGCGAATAGCGCTCTCCTCGCGGACACATGAACTCTATGAAGTTCCTTGGTCGTGTGGTTGATAATCCAGTGGTCATTGTTAGTGTGGCCAATGGTTTCCGTAACATCTGCTGCTGGTGAAGGTGCCGGTGTTGCAGGCTGCTTTGACTCTGCCTCGGCTGGAAAAGCTGACACAAGCAGTGATGGATACGGATTCAAGCTGATCTTGTCGTCATCGAAGGCCTTAGTCGCCGTCCTGTGGTTATGTTGTTTGCAAAATGCCGCAAGATCAAGTAGTGCATGGCCACTGTGAGACACTGGAATAGGCTGTCGATTCATGCCAAATGCCTTGCATGTAATCTTATCACACTGAGGAGTATGTTCAATCGTTATATGAAGATTTCGCATCTGATCAATACTGAACAAAATTGGAACTTGTCCCTGCTCAAGAATATCTATGTTGGTCACCATACGTGGTGTGGTGTTAAAATGGAGCCGGAGAGTCCAGTCGACCTTGGAGGTCTGACCGTTGGCAAAAGTGAACCTCGTATTGCATGGAATGTATTCATACCACATACGATGTGGATAAGGTTCAATTGCCTTCACGAATCTCTCCACTGCATACCAACTACCCATAGACTTCGTACAACCGTTGTCAAGAATGACATAGGTTGGATTGTCGACCTGCTTGATGATGGGCGCCATGAGTTTACTGGCCAAAGCTTGAGCTCGATCTGGAGTCGCATGCGGTATGATGTCGTAGGTCAAGCCATTTTGGGTGACCGTACTTCTGCTAGCATCCACTTCATATGTTGGACTTGCTAGGTAAGCCATATGACCATCATTCTGGGTCGAATAGTATGAAATATTGTTCCATTCTGAGGACCACCAGGCACTCTGGCCCCAATCATCCTGGTAAGGCTCTGCCGATATGTCGCCAGGTTGCTGTGTGGCATCCTGTGCTTCGGCATTATGATCCACGGCAAAGGTTTTAGTTTTTCCTTTTCCTTTGTCATCCTTGCCTGGATCTTTTCCTTTGTCCTTGGTTTTGCTGAAAGGTTTCCCTTTTCCTTTTTGGAACCAAGGTTGTGGTTTGCCTTTCTTTCCCCAGTAGGAATGATCGGTGGTGGAATCTTCGGCCATATTGGCCTTGCCGCCTGTTTGTGCTTTTCTGTAAGGTCTGAAACTGCCTCTTCGGCGCTTCCCCTTTCCTTTTCTTCCTTTTCGCCCCTTTCCAGACTTAAGAGTCCGACGTGGAACTCTTCGGAGAACAAAAGCATCATTGTCTTCCAACTGCCAGAAAGCTTCTTCATCATCTAATGGACAAAAGCCTTCAGCGCCTTCTTCGTCTTCCACCCAGAATCCTTCTTCGCCTTCATAATCTCCTTGCTCGAGGATAAAGAAGGTCTTGGATCTGCTTCCGCCTGAAGGGCGAATATTCGGATCCTGAAGATTAGTTCTGGTGGTGATGAAAAGGTCATAATACTGGGCCTTGACAAGTTCATAAGTGAACTGAGGCAGCTGAATACCTCTAAGGCTCAATGAGGATACTAGTCGTTCTCGTTGGCCTTCTGAAAGTTCACTCTGAATGATGAAGAACAGGGTCAGCATGTTGTCGGAAAGTGGAAAAGCATTGGTGTGCTCCTTTCTTTTGTTCTGAACAAATCTGTCGAAGTTTACTTGATCAGTCGAATCAAGATAGACTGGATCGGGCACTATGGGTGCTGCGGCTTGTTGCGGCAGTCCCATCATGAGCTGCGTAATTTCACTTACTCTTCGATTATGCTGATCACGTCGTTGCGCGTTAGCATCTGTGATGGCCTGAATATACTCAGGACTATTGATGGTGAATTCTGGTGCTGTATCTTCCCAAGATGCACGTAGCCGTCTGAGAAGAATCTCGAACTTGCTGATGAAGGTTATGAACTCACCATTTCCTCGTCGATGGTTGAAGAAACTGAGGAATCTGTAAAGGAATACATTCTGGACTCCCTTCAAGAAGTAGCCGCGAAGGAAATTGAGAAAATAATCCACTCCAGTGTCTCCGTCTATGAGTTTCTCATTGTCCAAAAGCTCGCGGTAACACATCGCCTCGTCTATGAGACGGTTCTTGAGAAGGGGGCCTCTTCGTTCCGGTTCTATAACCGTGAATGTACACCGATCCCTTACCAGATCTTCATATCGAAACCAACTAACACGGCCGTCATACGATGGAGGCAATTTTGCGTTCATCGACAGGTTGATGGTCTCCTCGGTAGAGCGTCCGCCGTTATGACGGCTTCCTAAGAATGCCGACATCGGTGGTTCTGCTCCATAAAAATCTTCCTCACTTGACATCCTTTATTCGGAGAACCAGGCTCCGCTACCACAATTGAGGTCCAATCCCCTGCAGGCCCGGTAGGGCCAGGCAAGGAATAAATGGGTTCCTCTTTATGTCCCTGGAATCTACCCCGAACAGGATGTAGAGGAGGAAATAGACCAAATAGCCAGTGTTTGGAAAAGATCACTGAAATACACCTGGAAGCACAAACAGCAAGGTCACGTATTTTTCACCTGAATGGCGATCTATTATACGTACACCAGGCCTTGAGCCAAACGGCGTAGCCGGTTATGTACAATTGCTGCATGAGTGGACATCTGGTTTCAAGCAACAGCAAAACAAGAAACACCCCCCCCACCCCCCACCCCCCACCCCCCCACCCCCCTCCCACCCCCCACCCTGTCTGCCGTGCCGGACTCGACCCCGGCATTGTGCGGGCAGCAAGCCAATGTACCCCAAAACACACAGGCGACCTACGTCGCCACCAGCATTTAGAACAGCCGCTTATGTGCATTGGAAACTCCCCCAAACGATCCACAGGCGCGAATCGTCTGCCGAGCGGCGCGAAGGTTTCATAGAGATCCCTGGGCGAGGCTCGAGGTGCAGAAGTTGAGATGTGGGGTGGCCATGGGCGAAAGTTCCTAACGGTGGTTCAACATGGTGGGTTCCCTAATGTTGCACCCCGCTTTTATAAGGGTACCCGGTTTAATGTCAGGTTTTTTGGGCTTAAAGGGAATCCCACTGTTTGGGGTAGGTTGTTCAAAATGGTAAATGGGTAGGGTTGGGTTGGGTATTTTACTGGGTTGGGGAATGCGTCTGTGGTTTTTCTGGGTTGTTCAAAATGGCAACTGGGTTCCCGATTTTCCTAATCCTAGTCATCCTAACTCTTGCGATTCCCTAAAAACCTGGGGGATGAAACAAGGATCTAACGGGGAGTTTTGAACAACCCAGCTACAAGGGGGGGCGTTAAGTCACATCATCCGGTAGAAGTCACACCTTTACTGCGGGCGCTGAGTGATTCTTTAGTCACATCACGAAAAAGAAGTCACATCACAGATGCTGGTTTGGATTGCAAACACACTGGGGCGCCAAGCTCGAAGTGACTTTTAAGGCAAGGTTAAACTTGAACAAAATGTGCACGGCGCTGAGCGGAAAGCAACATTTTAGGCTGTCAAACATGTGTTCTTGGATCCTTTCCCCATTGGGGCGCTGCGTTTCATAAGCTGTGGCATCAAGGGTGTCAAACATGTGTTCTTGGATCCTTTCCCCATTGGGGCGCTGCGTTTCATAAGCTGTCGCATCAAGGGTGTCAAACATGTGTTCTTGGATCCTTTCCCCCATTGGGGCGCTGCGTTTCATAAGCTGTCGCATCAAGGGTGTCAAACATGTGTTCTTGGATCCTTTCCCCATTGGGGCGCTGCGTTTCATAAGCTGTCGCATCAAGGGTGTCAAACATGTGTTCTTGGATCCTTTCCCCATTGGGGCGCTGCGTTTCATAAGCTGTCGCATCAAGGGTGTCAAACATGTGTTCTTGGATCCTTTCCCCCATTGGGGCGCTGCGTTTCATAAGCTGTCGCATCAAGGGTGTCAAACATGTGTTCTTGGATCCTTTCCCCATTGGGGCGCTGCGTTTCATAAGCTGTCGCATCAAGGGTGTCAAACACGTGTTCTTGGATCCTTTCCCATTGGGGCGCTGCCATAAGCCGCATCAAGGGTGGTGGGGAATTGTGCGTTTCATAAGATCGCATCGGGGCGCTGCCATAAGGGTGTTCTTGGATCCTTGGACCATTGTCTCTTGGATCCTTTCCCCTTGGGGCGCTGCGTTTCATAAGCTGTCGCATCAAGGGTGTCAAACATGTGTTCTTGGATCCTTTCCCCCATTGGGGCGCTGCGTTTCATAAGCTGTCGCATCAAGGGTGTCAAACATGTGTTCTTGGATCCTTTCCCCATTGGGGCGCTGCGTTTCACAAGCTGTCGCATCAAGGGTGTCAAACGTGTGTTCTTGGATCCTTTCCCCCATTGGGGCGCTGCGTTTCATAAGCTGTCGCATCAAGGGTGTCAAACATGTGTTCTTGGATCCTTTCCCCATTGGGGCGCTGCGTTTCGTAAGCTGTCGCATCAAGCTAGAAAAAGTGGGTGGTTGTGTTGAACCCCCAGGCATTCGCTACCCGCATCTGCCTGTAATCCAACCGCACTTAAGCCCTTTTGTGAAAAACATTGACAAAGCGTTTGAATCTCTCACTTGAAGATCGGCGGGCCGCGAAGCAGCTCCTGGGTCACCTGAGGGGCCAAAAACATGAAAAGTGACAGGGCTCGTGGGCGAGGTTCGGGCGAGGTCCGGGCGAGGTCCAGGCGATGTCCGACGTTTTTTCAGGAAAGCCAGTTAGTTGCCCACTGCACGTAAATCTGCACCTGATGTGCAAAACTGCCACGCCTGCCACGAAATCTGCACCTCAGGTTGCCAAAGTGCTGCGCCTGCCACGAAATCGTGACGTCACAGCTTGCGCGTCCATTCCAATGCGATTCGCATCTCGCGAGCTCCACGTGCCCAAAGTACTGCGCCAATCTGAACACGACATCAACTTTTTGCTGCGCCTGCCACGAAATCTGCACCCCAGGTTGCCAAAGTGCTGCGCCTGCCACGCGATTGTGACCTCCGATTCTGCGTCACGCGCCGTGCCATTGGGCAACTTTCGAGACCGTGGCGAGACCGTGGCGCACCCGTGGCGCACCCGTGCGCTGATCCAGGGTTCCCTTCGCGCATTTCGCGTGCGAGCTGGCTATAGTTTTCGTATTCCGGAAGTTTCTGATCAAACTTCCTTTGATAACAAGTTAAAACTCTAGTTGCGCAAGCCAAGAACAATGTCTCCGCATTAGGATTGTGCGCGGGCGCCAATGAATTTGCACTTGTGCTGCATGAAACAACTCTTGTCCGATGCTCGCGGGGCCTAAAGTGCTGTGGGCGCCAATGATGAACAATGTCTCCGCATTAGGATTGTGCGCAGGCGCCAATGAATTTGCACTTGTGCTGCATGAAACAACTCTTGTCCGATGCTCGCAGGGCCTAAAGTGCTGTGGGCGCCAATGATGAACAATGTCTCCGCATTAGGATTGTGCGCGGGCGCCAATGAATTTGCACTTGTGCTGCATGAAACAACTCTTGTCCGATGTGCTCGCTCCTAACTGTGCGCAGTGCACTTGTGCTGCATGAAACAACTCTTGTCCAAAAGTGCTGTGGGCGCCATGATGAACAATGTCTCCGCATTAGGATTGTGCGCGGGCGCCAATGAATTTGCACTTGTGCTGCATGAAACAACTCTTGTCCGATGCTCGCGGGGCCTAAAGTGCTGTGGGCGCCAATGATGAACAATGTCTCCGCATTAGGATTGTGCGCTGGCGCCAATGAATTTGCACTTGTGCTGCATGAAACAACTCTTGTCCGATGCTCGCAGGGCCTAAAGTGCTGTGGGCGCCAATGATGAACAATGTCTCCGCATTAGGATTGTGCGCGGGCGCCAATGAATTTGCACTTGTGCTGCATGAAACAACTCTTGTCCGATGCTCGCGGGGCCTAAAATGCTGTGGGCGCCACGAAGATACGACTTCTGCCAGACGAGGCGACTTAACACCAGACCCCAGTAACTAGGCTTCCCGCTTGGATGTTCCCTAGGGGGTACCCTTTGTTGCAAAGCGCCGCCCCTCCGTTGTGATGCCTGCTTTCAATTTGAAACGTCGGGTGAAAGTAGCCAAACAGTGTGCCATCATGAATCTATCCCAGTGATTCCAGTTACCTCTATGGTAGCCAGGATGTTACGCTCTCTCGTTTGAATGGTGGCTTCCGCTTGGCTGTCCAGTGGTAACTGGAACCACTGGATAGCATGCCGCATCTGAACGGCGCAGCAACTGGCATTGCCCAGGACAAATTGTGGAATCTTATCATGCACATGCAAAGAAGTTGGGCGGCTCCTACCAATACTGACATGTTGCACCATCCTAGTGAGAGCAAAAAACCCGCGATACCCATGCAAAGCTGGTTGTGCTGCAGCGTCGATGCAAGCCACGGCGCCGTTCCCAAAAAAATGTTCTGGTCCGGAAAGTTGCTCATGCACACGAGGCGTTAGCCGGCTAAATGAAGATCTATGCTGGAGAGCCTTAAACCTATAGATCCAACCATTTGGCCATCAAACCGCAAGGGAACAAATTCAACACCTACTTCAAATATGGGTCAAAACCAATGGGTAACCCGTTTTGGGGTAGGTGTACCGCCTTTTTGGCCTATTTTAGTGGAGGTTGGGATGTTCACTGGGGGTACGGGGTTTTGACCCATGGCCACTTCAAATTCGACAATCACTTAACACACCATAACGCAACCCAGAAATGGGCAGGACAACTGAGAAACGCAGAACAATCAAGCTGAGAGTATGCTCGTTCAATTTACCAGTGTTTGCTGATTTTGCAGGGAAACCAGTGTACCTCCCAACCCCGCCGTTTCAAGGGCCACACATGATGATCCCCATACTGGATTCAAGGGAATAAGGAATACGGGGGAGAATGGAACAACCTCGTCCTTCTAAAGGAACCATATATTGGGATAATCTCGGGTGAGACCGCTATAGATTGCCCAGATTTTGATGGACCCTTATTTGTTTGGGGCTCCTTCGGTTCGTTTTTTGGGAGGGTATGAGAACTGAGTGGACAAGCCTTGTTTCGGTGTCCGCCTCTGCTTGGCTGTTCTCAGAGGGATGAATGCAATGCACCATTTGGAAGTGCTTCTTTTGAGGGGGTACGTTTTTTGGGCTGATTTCAATACGGGAAACTCGCGGACACCTATTTATGGGGTTTCAAACAGAAGACACACCCGGGACAAACATCAACAATAAGATCCCTTATTGTGGAAAACCAAACAATAACTTTGCGGGCGATTTTGCCCATTGCAGGTGGTTGTCCATTGCCCCCGGAATTCTCCAAACAGCGCATCGTCGCCGTCTCCTCGCCCGCAGAGGCCATCACCCTTTCAGCCTTTGGGCCCCGCGCTGAACACCCATTAAAGCACGGGGAAATTGTGGTAAAGCTTTGAGCGATCCCAAAAGCTTTAAAAGGTCGGCCAAGTGAGAAAAGGCAAAGTCTCCTCAGCCAGTGGGTTTGGCCCAAAAAACAGTGAGCTCACCTTTTTCTCCCCCACTCGTCACAAAAGGGGTCCCAGCCACCCAAAAGAAAGTGCTTAACGTGTGCAACCACTGGCTGCGTCTCCAACTGGGGCCAGCTGCAGTGCGGCCATTGAGAAGGTGGGGAAGAGCGTGAGCATAGCATTGTGCAGGACAACCCGCTCGCACTCTGGGCGTGGCTCTCGTAGCAGGTCTAGCCTGTGCCACGATTCCAGCTGTTTTTTGTTCAAGTTGGGAGCGCCTTTTCTGAAGAACCCCGGAAATGGTTGTGATTTCCACGAGTGGTACTTGAAATCCAAACAAAAAGGGGGGGTACAAGTACCTTGCATTCCTGGCGCAGGAGATATTTCCAGGTCCTATCAACTCACACCAGTGGTCAAAGGACGACCTCACCATTTTTCCCCAGTCAATAAAGGGTGGTCATGAACCCTTCAATGGGACCCATGCCCCATGACCATCCCCAATTTCTGTGGACAATGGCACAATTGTGAGTGAGTGAGTGAGTTGGGGTTTTGAAGTGATGCCAACGGCTTTCGCAACCATCCACGGTAATGGTCTCCCTTTTCCCCAAAAAAACAGGGCCCGTCCCCCGCCGCCCAAAGCCCGCCTTTGAAATGCCGTGAGCTCGTGTTTGTGATCCTCGAAGTACTGATGGAGCTGAGCCTCTGCGTGCTGCAGGTACCTGGCGTGTCCCATTGGCTGCGCTTTATCCTATGGGTTTGTCTCTGTTTTTTTGAGGGACCCACCAAAATGGCTGGTTTGCTTTTGGTTTCCCTTGAACCCCCCCAAAAGGGACGCCTCAAAAAAGACAAACTCATATTATGTCATGGGCTTTGCTCTTGGGGGCGCCTTTGGTGGACGTCACAAATTGTCCACTGATGGGAATTCCCTAATCGAAATCCATGGCAATGTTTAACCTACACTACGATGCTGTAATTTTCAGCGCATGCAGCAAAGTGCAGTTCGGGCATCCTTCAAAAGGCATCGATGAAAGGCACCCTTTTCCTCTCTTGCCCAAAAGACTGGGAAACAACGATTCAACTGATTCAACTATTGGCCCCCCTCTAAACCAAAGGTGGAAATTGGGGAAAAGCCAACAACTTGAGCGGCTTTCAGCGAGTTTCACTCGATGAGTCGAACAACGTCTGCCAGCACTAGGCTTGACTGCAGCTCAGCAACCGTGTCAAAGACCGAGTGGGAAATGCCCAGCCTTCTGGTGAATGGCTACCATCTGCAGACGTGGTTGTGCTGCCCTTTCAAAAAGTGTGGACAGTGCACATTATGCAGCAAGCGCTACACAAGCACGTCGGAGGATACAAGTATATACGGTGTATTATTAAATTTGTCAACATGACTATGCCTCTGGGACACATACACACACATACACGGGTTGATTGCTATCTGGTCTTGAGCTGTTTATCCTGTCATTGACTGTGCTACGTGCTTCAAATGCTGCTGCAATTTCCTTGGCAGCTCAGGAACACACAGACACATATAATACAGGCTCACGTACACAATATGTGTATACAGGCCCATGTATGTATGCATGTCTCTGTCTGTCTGTCTGCTTGTCTGTGTCTGTCTGTCTGTGTGTCTGTCTCTGTCTGTCTGTCTGGCTGTCTGGCTGCCTGGCTGCCTGTCTGTCTGTCTGTCTGTCTGCCTGCCTGCCTGTCTGTCTGTCTGTGCATATGCTGATAACACGCAATTTCCTGGCTGCGAGCGCCAGGAAATTGCTACTCTCTACACACCCAAATAAGCATCAACAAGCACCCATGATATTCGTCAACACATTGACATGGGGAGGTAAGCATAAACCACACATACACACAAACACACGTGCACATCGTCCTGGGTGATGCCCCCTCTGTGCCCCCCCAGCCCTCGCAACCCACGGAATCCAGTGTTCTTGGTTGCTATTAGCCCCTTGCAAAAAGTGAAGCTTGCTGAGTGCTGAACGGAACACCAACTTTTTGCAAAAAGTCCAGCCTTTTCGAGTGTGAAACACCAACTGCTCAAAAGTGCTGAACTTGTTTACTGTTGAATAGAACACCAATTACTTTGCAAACAGTTGCACATATTAAGTAATGGTAAATGGAAGGCATATTATGCTTCAACGAGTTGAATTGTGTTACTGTTGCATGTAACATCACCTAGCATGTCAAGAGTTACACTTGTCACTGGTCAATGGAAAACATGTTACTCTGAACAATTCGTGTTAAATGTAGCATCAGCTATCGTGCAACAAGTTGAGCTTGGTTCGAGTTGAACGGAACAACACATATGTTGCAACACATCAAGCCTGTGTCTACTGTTATATACTGTTATTGTTTTGGAACACACACACACTCTATTTTGCAAACAAGTGACACTTGCTTAGTGTTAAATGAAACATCGACTAATTTACAAACAGCTAGACTTGCTTACTATTGAATTGAACAACTACCCAATTTGGCAATCACTTAAAGTCGGAAGATCATACAAAAGCACAGTCATGGCGACTGCCAACGCGCCGCGCTTTCGCGTGCCGTGAGTATATGTTTTTCATACTGTCGTGGGGGTGCCAAACCAAAGCCCAAAGGGAAACCAGAGGAAACCGGCCCATGAAATCGGGGTACCTCAAAAAGAACACACACAGTTCTTCGGCTGATTACTAAAGCTGGAACTGCTCACCCGAGTTCTGCACGTTCCTAACGGGTCAAGAGTTGGGCTCGCAGTGCTCTTGCAAAATTACAGGAGCTGAGAGGTCCCGGGGATGTGTGGTCCCGGGGAAAGACATAACTCGGTGCATGTCATAACTATTTTGTTTTGCCAGTCCAATTCACAGGAAGACGCGTGATGTTCAGCGTCCGTGTTGCGTGTGTGTGTGTGCGTAAGTGTGTGTGTGTGTGTGTCAATGTGTGAGCTTTCACACTTGAATGGCAGGAACTGTCGCAGCACTTCTTGGTGAGGATGTGAGTGTAGATGAACTTCCATCCTGGCCAACAAAAGAAGGACGTCTGCTGGATCAAACAAGCGACATGCTCAAGCTTACTCTATCACCAGGACAACCACAAATAAAGCTGTCACTGCTCTCACTCTGATATTGACGATGCTCCGAATAAGGCTGTTGCTTTGCATGCTCATTTTCGAAGCTCGTTCTAATGATTGAACAAAGTGGTTGGAGCTTGCAGGCCGTCGTGAAACCCAAGCCGGCCCTCACCAGTGTCTGTGAAAAGAATCAAGCGGCACTCAACCAGGCAGAAACAAGCAAACCCGATATGTGCAACAAAACAGCAGCAGCAGCAGCAGCAGCAGCAGCAGCAGCAGCAGCAGCAGCAGCAGCAGCAGCAGCAGCAGCGGCAAGGCCGGGTACTAACAGCAGCGGTGGCGATGACACAAAATACGAAACAACAGGAGAATAGCGTGCTTCGTGAAAGCAAACACAGTCACATATGGCTACGGATTTTTATTAGGGACTCTTTGGTGGACATGGTTTAGGCGCAGATTACTGTCCACCTACCACCTTTTTGGAGGTCCCTAATATAATTCCATGGCCATATCATGAGTAACGGACCAAGGGCAATTCTGCAGCCATCACTGCCAGTCCTTGCTTGGTCGTCGCTGTCACAAGGCTGAAGGGACCGCTGCTTGTGCAGCGCGTCGTGTCAAAGTTGGGCGGAAGTTCCTGAGATGCTAGGGCAACCCTTTCCCAAACAAACATATGGGGGTTTCTCAAAATAGGGAACCCCTTTTTGGGGTTGGCTTCCTTTAGCTTCCCTTTAAATAACTAACTAAAGGAATTCCCATATTTTGAGAAATCCCATATCAGCTCACAGGGCGGTATTTGTAGGCTACAGTACTTTCCACTTCAGGAAGCCCCCTGTCCGTTGCCGTGTTTGTTCAAGGAAGGGTAGATGCCTTCCTCGGCCATGTGACCATCATCCCGTTGACTGCCAGAAAACACGTTGGATTTTATCTGCGAGATATGCTGCGCAAGAAACCATGTGTGCATATCGCTTTATGTGCGCACGTGGACGCATGTGCAGATCTCTTTCTCTCTCTCTCTCTCTCTCTCTCTCTCGCTCTCTCTCTCTCTCTATATATATATACCCTACTTTCCATACATAAAACAAATGTGTATATATATATATATAGGCATATTATATGTGTTCACATGTAATTTTATATGTGTGTGGTTCCGTGTAAATCGAATGCATGTTGCGTAACAGAACAAACAAACACACCAGCAAGCAAGAAAACACACACACACACACAAACACAGCGTTTGTGTGTGCATAGGCTGCTTACAACCTGCCACACAACCACACCGGTTTAAGCTAACAATACATTAAACATCCGATTGTAGATGCTTTCAACCTCATTCCAAACCTCGACCTGTTGGCTGGCAACCTGAACACCAGACCTGGCCTTTTCATACTATGGCCCATGCCAAGTCGAAGCCAATCAACCCCTGTGCATCTCATCATGGCTCTCGCGTCAGGGCCATGATTGATGCTCCCTAGACCACAGGATCTCAGTTTGTGTTCATGTCATCATTCGTGCGGCATGGTTCATACACATTCTGTAGTGTCATGCTACCCGCATTACTGTGCAACATGAGCAGGGGGTTGCATTTCAATGCCACAAGAAAATTGGAAGGCTGGACTGCGGCAGCACAAGAGCATTGTCACCCTCGTCTGGTAGTAGATCAGGTGTCGATATCAAATTGTATCACTTGGGTACGTCAACTTATTAGTGTTTTGTTTCCTTGAGAATCCCACATGCTACTCTATTTTGCGAACCACGACCAGTCGTCACTGGCCCCCCTAAGAGCCCCAAACCGAACCTACAGCAGCCAAAACAAATGAACTGCATGGGAATAGCTGGGAGTCGAGCCCTCGACCTGCCCACTCTGCCAAATTTCGCAGGCGGACCAGGAAATATTCAAACCTCCTAGCCAAGATCCTCCCCAAAAATCCGCCTTTGCTACTAAAAAGACACCTATCTACAAATCTAATTTCCTCTTGTTTGGCAGTTTGACAATATCCCCGATATAATCGGGTTTACAACAAAGTAGCCTTTCTAATTCCCAATAACACTTTTTTTTTGCAGGTCCTTCTGTCACCCACCGGCCAACGCCGGAATTGATCGAACAATGCTCACCTGTGCCATGGCAACAAAACACGCTGCGAAAAGGGATATGGGCCCCCCAAAAAACGGAACTTCTATTAAACCCTTTTGAGCCCTTGGGGGGGACCAGCACGGTCGCAATGTCCACCACCCAAAAAAAAGCCCAAGAACAGAGACGACCCCGCCTCTTGAAACCACTATTGAAGGGTTGATGACCACCCCTATTCTGGCTCCAGGTTGAGTAGGAAACAGAAATCTAAATTTTAGCAGCTAATCGTGGCGGATTTCCACTAAACACCAAACAGCAAAAATGTAAGTCATGCTTCCCAACAACAACCAGGTATTACACTCCCAAAAACAAACATGGAACCTGACAACCACCTGTAGAGGAAGAACCTGAACAATTTCCTGTTTGTAGAGGAAACTCCTTTTCCAGACACCCCTTTTTTGGGTTCCATGTGACTGTCTTTGGGTAACCCCAAGCAACGTCGGGTTTGGCACCTCCCTGGGCCGGTTCAAGGGCTGCGCCCTGCGCCGGGGTGCCCAGACCAGGTCCTTGGAGCCAGTGGCCAAGGGCCGCTCCGTGACCACCAAGGTGGCGATCACCACCAGAGACACACGGAAGTCCATGCCCAGGATGCCTCCATGACTTGCCCAGTGGGTTTAGGGGAAAAAAAGGCTGCAACCTTTTTTTGCTGGTTGTTTGGGGGCGATGATAGAAAATGGCTGAGGATTTTTGGTTTCACCTCCCTTATAAAAAAGGAGGTTCCATTTTTGGTTGACCTGTTCAATTGAAAAGTTGGGTTCCACGTTCCATGTTTTTGTCCACTTTTTGGGTGGTTCGATTGTTTTCTTGGCTCGAAAAGCAGGAAAGAGATGGGAATGACCCCTATCAACCCTTCCCTTGTGGTTTGAAAGATGGCTAGGGGTTCATTCCCTTATTCCCCAGAAGTTCATCGAATGGGAATGCAGCAACGTCCCGCACAGGTGGAGTGGTCCAACAAAGCACTTCAGTCATAATCGTTGTGGCATTAGACTCATGAACTAGCTTTCCCAGGCAGCCCATTCCCAAACACCATGGCGCTCCCTGCAAAAACGACCGCGATTTGGATTGAGCTTTCGGCTGTTTGGGTGCATTGCTCGAAGACACCGCATCTGCATACAGGTGTGCAGCTGTGCTTATGAGATGCACCATTATAAGTTCAGCATGTGTAGGTGGTAGGTGATAGCAAATGTGCTCGCAGGATGGGGAACAACAGGACTCAGAGTCTACGCCTCCCAAAAACGTAAACACCACGCAGGGCCCCCCAAAAAAAAGGATCAACAGAGGGATGCAGTTGGGTGTCTGTTGTTGTGCTGCCCTATACCTCATGGTGCTGCTACTACTGCTGCTGCTGCTGCCGCTGCTGCTGCTATGTCAAAAGCACTCAACATGGCCAAGTGATAAGTGCACCCGCTCCACTGCTTTCCGGTCCATGCTGAAAGCACCCGCCAATGGTCAAATGTAGCAAAGTGCGCTCGACTGCGCTCCATTTGAAAGCTGAGCACACCCACTTGCGCGCATCCCATGCTGCAAGCACCTCCGCTCTACTGTATCCCATGCACAGCAAAAACAGAAAAGGAACTTGCACGAAAATGCTGGTCGGACCATGGGGCCTCTTGAGGAAGCACATGTCAAAGGCCGTTCATTCCAAGAGAGTTCACATTCATGTGAAACGTGTCGATAATAATGATTTATGTGCATGCCTGGCGCTTTCGCCCCAACACAGACACACACACAACAGAAAGGCGCGAGGCATGCTGTCGGTAAGTTTTGCTAAGGGGCTATGAAGTGGCCAGGCAGTCTTGTACGCATTTATGGTGCTTACAGATGGCACCAACAGCCAAAGCATTGAGCGCTTGCCAATCGCAGTAATTACATACCAAGTTTCAAGAAATGCATGTTTCATCAAGATGAGCTGAGACCCATGTTTTCGCACGTGGGCGTGGGATGGGCATACACATGTTCCCAGGGTGACGCACAGTATTGTAGCCATGTGTTTTCCTTGTCTCGCTTGTATTATTATGATCAAAGGAAGTTTAGTTGCAAAACTTCCGTAATACGAAAAGTTCAAAGCCTCAAGTTGCGCATACGCTCGCAAGCGAAGCAAGTCGCAAGATAGAGTCCGCAAAAGTGGTGAAGGGTACCTCTGTTCAGCGCCCGGGCTCGCGGCGGTCTCGCGAGCGTTCCGCACTGGCACGCTTGCGCAGAGGGTTTGTCCAGACTTGTTTCGCGTGACAGGCGCGGCACTTCGTGCGGGTGGGCGAACGGTGTCGCGAGCGTTCCGCGCTGGCACGCTCGCGCAGAGGGTTTGTCGAGACTCGTTTCGCGTGACAGGCGCGGCACTTCGTGCGGGTGGGCGAACGGTGTCGCGAGCGTTCCGCGCTGGCACGCTCGCGCAGAGGGTTTGTCGAGACTCGTTTCGCGTGACAGGCGCAGCACTTCGTGCGGGCTCCAAATGTTCCCCACTGGCACGCGCGCGCAGAGGTTTCGCGTGACAGGCGCAGCACTTTCGCAGCGTCAGGTACGTTTCGCGTGGCAGGCGCGGCACTTTCGCGTGTCGGGTGCAGATTTCGTGGCAGGCGCAGCACTTCGGAGGTGTTCGCGGGAGTTCCGCACTGTAACGCTCGCGCAGATGCTTTCGCAGGTGTAGATTTGTGTGGCAGGCGCAGCACTTCGGCAAGGCCAGGTGCGTTTCGTGTGGCAGGCGCGGCACTTTTGCATCCGGAGAGGAAGGAAAGGGTGGAAAGGGAGAAGCAAGAAGCCAGAAGCAAGAAGCCACAAGCAAGAAGCAACAAGCAAGAAGCAAGAAGCAAGAAGGCAGACGCTAGAAGCCAGAAGCAAGAAGCAAGAAGCCAGAAGCCAGAAGCAAGAAGCAAGAAGCAAGAAGCCACAAGCAAGAAGCCAGAAGCAATAAGCCAAAAGCCAGAAGCCAGAAGCAAGAAGCCAGAAGCCAGAAGCAAGAAGCCAGAAGCAAGAAGCAAGAAGCAAGTAGCAAGCAGCAAGCAGCAAGCAGCAAGAAGCAAGAAGCAAGAAGCAAGAAGCCAGAAGTCAGAAGCAATAAGCAATAAGCCAGAAGCCAGAAGCCACAAGCAAGAAGCCAGAAGCAAGAAGCCAGAAGCCAGAAGCAAGAAGCAAGCAGCAAGCAGCAAGCAGCAAGCAGCAAGGAGCAAGGAGCAAGGAGCAGGGAAAGACACTTGCAAGAAAGAAGCAACAAGCCTCTTCCTATAGGCACATGTTCTCTTTAGAAACTTCCGCCCCCGGCTTCGCCGGCTATACTGGTAATAGCTCACTCAGTTTCCTTCCTGGCTTCCTGGCTTCCTGCCTTCCTGTCTTTCTCTGCCTTTGTGTGCAACACATAACAATTTGTGTGTTCGGGCCTGCAACCTGCAACCTGCAAAACGTAAGCCGAAGGCAAGAGGAACTCAAGAAGGCCAACCATGACAACCGGTAGCATCGACTAAATGGGGATCCCCTCTGTCTCGCCCACAACAAGCAATGTAGGAAATGCAGCAGCACAACAGCAACATTCACCTCAACACCAGCAATCAGCATGCCAGATTCTGCAATGCCTGCCAGTCATGGGTCTATGTTGCAGGGCTGATTTCAGTGTGCCTTTGAACCACACAGAAGGGCCCCTATTTTGGGGCACACCTCGGCAAACACCAGCCGTGTTGGCAACTGAGGTTTCTTCTGAAAGACGTCGCATCCAGGCCTACACCGATGGAGAGCATCAGATACAGCTCAGCCGTCCAACCGTAGCAGCCCGTCGTCGGCTGGAAGTGGATCTCACCCAAAAGCCTCAGCACTTCGCGTTTTCGAAGACGCATCCACTTCTTCGGAGCCGGGCGCAGGCCGCTACAAAAGGCGGCTCAGTTGGGCCACTGTTGGACGAAGGTCCGAGTAAAGGCTGTAACTGCGCTGGGCCAACATTTTTGTTGGAGATTGTTCCAAAAATTCCCAACAGGTCCAAAAGTGTCCCAGCCGCTCAGGAGAAACAGCCAGTGGAAAACACCGGGCTCCACGGAAATGCCCCACGCTGGCGTTTTTTGCCGAATCTCACGCTATGCATGGAGATAAACAAAAGAGAACGAACATGTCGGTACCACGGCCTCAAACAGGTAGCTTCCTTTTGTTGTCCCTTTACGCCAAGCCTTTGGGGGGTTACCTCAAACAAAGGGCAAACGACCCATGTGAGGTCCTCTCAATATTTAAGTTGTTTTGGGTAATGGACACTGTAAATTTGGGGCAGTCAAACCTGCTTTATGTGAGAGCTTTAGGGCTCTTCCCCCATGTCCTCCCCAAGTTAATCACAAACTACCAATACAGGGGCCCTTTTGAGATTGATGTTCAAGGGAGACTGGTGGAAACGAGCACAATTTGGTACCTCAGAAAAAGACAGCCCGCATCACAGATCCTCGTTGGTAAGTTGAGATGCATCCTTTTGCTGGAAGAAGGCAACATTGTGGCATGGGCAGCCACCTATATGAGCAACTGACATAATTACTTGTTCTCCCGAGTGGACATGGGAAAATTGGGTTGTCCCCCTGGTATTTGTGGGGAATTTGGGTTGTCCCGCCATGTCCTCCCAAATAGACAGTAGACTACCAGTAATTTTGTCCATTACTCATATGACGGCTGGCAATATGGACCAGTGATGTAATGTGCATCGCCTTGCGGACTGCGCCTGTGGCTAGCTCAAGTGAAGGCATGTATAGACCGTCGATCTGGGCCCGTCAGAAGTTAGTGTCCCCTGACTCCACATACAAGCACTGGCCACAAAATCCAATGGATGCAAAGGACCTCCCCCTCTTTTGGAGGATTCCCCTTCTGAATGCCCTCATTATCTTGGAGGGGGCCCAGGTCCATCCCTGTGAACCATCCCCTATTCTTGTCAACCCACAAAATGTTGAAGGTTGCTCATATTCACGGCTGGAATCATGAAAGCTGCAGGTATTGCAGGACATCAATTCATCCAATACACAGGGTTCCTTATTTTCCTGTTTGGAAAATCACCCCATAAGAGGGAAAATCCTCTAGTGTTGGTCCAAAAGGTGGTTTTCAGACCAACCCAAAAACAGGAAAATAAGGAACCCTGATACAGCGGGAAAGGATCCCCGAGCTCCGAGGTAAAGGAGTTCGCCAGGCGGCCCAATGCCAATGAGTCCAGGAAAAACACCTGTCGGTGCAGCCAAGGTCGCAGGATGGCTAAGGGATTCAAACATGATTTGGCTGATGACATGACACCACAAACACACACACAGTAGCCCTGGGGACTTCTGTCCACTTTCGGGATGAACTGAAAAAAGGTGTTATCGGTGTCGACCAAGTCCATGGTGGGTTCCCTTTACCAACAAAGTGGCCCAAAAAAATTCACAAACAGTTGTGATATCCCTTGGGGTCCAGGGGTCCACTGGTATCTTCAAACCCAGTTGGGTTTGGGCGTCCCTTTATGGTTCCACTTTTTGATCATTCAAAGATAGGCTTCCCAACTCCGCTGGTAGGTAGAACAGAGTTGCTCTTTTTTGCAACTTCCACCCTGCGCTGCTTCCAGCTTTTGGGGGGGGGAAGCTTTGTCATCTGCTTGATGCTTGGAATCATGAAGTCCAAAACAGTGGAAGCAGCTTGCCTCTTACTTGGGAATAAGAACAAATGAACCCCACCATCTGGCTCACTTGCCCAAGTTGGACCTAGAAATAGAAGGTGATCACCTTTTGGAACCCCCACTAAACCAATTTCACCAAGCAAAAGGTTAATCCAAGTCGGCTTGGGGCAAGTGAGGCAACACTCATCGCACCACTTGTGCTGAATACCCCCTGTGTTTAGCAAAATTCTACCAACTGTTTACTTGCCATTATTCCATGGCGCACGTAAATTTGTTCAAGGCTTGGTCCTACAACCATCCGCGGGACCAAAAGAACAACTTCCATCTGCACGCAGACGCACACACAGGGAGTCCACCCCTTTTTATGGAGATTACGTATCAACTTCCGCCAAGCCTCGGACGGGAAAACAGGAGCGCCCGAGTGATGTCCCCAACACTTTCCATGCGGAATCCGCGTGTCCCGTACCACCCCTGGGCAACTCGGCCAAGCTGCAGCTGCTTGGGGAAGACAAAAGAAGCCACAAACACTTTCCCAAGGTCAAGAGACTGATTGATGTTGGGGGTGTTGGGGAACACTATTGTTTTTGTCTTTTGTGGTGTCTTTTGCCTTTTTCTCCCTCAACATGTTGAGAATCAAAGCATGGATCTGTTCCCAGCAACGTTGGAGGTGGATTACAGCCTCTCAATGGCAAGGGGGACGGTATTTGTCGGGACCCGGGCCAAAATGGAAGGATCCGAAATCAGGGGTCTGCAAACTGGAATGATGTAGGGGTCTAAATAGATCTAAAACAGGGGGCTGGGGTTCCCTAAATCCACTTTACAAGGGGATTGTGATTGCAATTAGTCTTAGTAATTATCTAGCCCCTTATATTGGGTGGAATCAAAGCTGTTGGTTTGCAATGCTGGATTAATTTGGACAAACGAACTAGCGGGGATATCGTGGAAGCGGGGATGTGGTTTTGGGATTCCCCAGGACAACCCCCTGTTCTAAACTAGTCTAAATCCCTACCACGGGAATCCTCAACCGTATCCATCTGCTTCCCAACCGTATTCCTGCTAATTGGTTTCTCTGATTAATGACTGTCGAGGTGTCCCTTTTTGTTCGGTTTTGAAGGGAAGTGAGACACATTCCGAAAAGGAGGGCAACACCAAACCAGCAAAGTCAAAGGATTCCCCCTCCTCAGTTGGTGAGTGGCCGGTCCAAAAAGAGTTGAACACTTGTGCCAAAGCTAATTTACCGGAGCCCTACCAAAAAAACATGTTTACAAAGTGTGGCCATTCACTGAGTAATGGGAAACTCGCCTTTGTTTTGGGGGGGGATCCTCAAAAATAAAACTTTATACCTTTCCATTTTGGTGGGTGTGGACTGGGGAACTTCCCAACTCTTGGGAGGTAGCATAAAAGTGCCTTTTTTGCAATTCCCACTACTCCCGCTAAAGTAAAAAAACAAACAAAAAAGAACGCAAACAAGAAGTTTTAAAAGCCGCAAAGAGGAGAAACAAAAGAAGTAAAACAAAAAAAACGCAAAAAAAAAGTAAATAAACAAAAGCCGTAAAAAGGTGCCCCTTCTCGGATCGCAATGAAAAGAAAAAGGGGAAACCTCAGCTCGCGGTGCGCTCTTTTCACGCCTCCAAACAACACCATCTTCTGGTGTTTGGGTTTTTCAGGTATGGAGGCTTGTATACCACTCATATAATTACCACCAATATAAGGTTGTAAGGTGGTTAACCTCCAACAAAGCCTGGGAAGCGACTCAATGGAGGCCTCCCTTTCGCGCCTCTTCAAGTGCTGATCGGCGTGCTCCGCAATGTCTGCAGCAATGACCGAGAGGACCTCTTCAGACCGACGCGAGGACGGAGGTCTCTGCGGTGGATCTCTTGCCGGACCTCTTCTTGGGCCTGGTTGAAAGGGAAACCAAGGGTCCCTCAAAAAAGAGACAACCCCTCAAGAAAAGACAACCCCTCAAAAAAAGGCTTCCCCTCTGTTCTGTCACCTCCCCATTCTTTCTAGGTACCCTTCTTTCTGGAAAACGGCGTAAACCAAATCCTGGGAAAATGGTTAGGACTTGGGGAGAACTATGGTTGGAAAGAATGGTGGGAACCAACCCTTTGATCTATGGTACCCGTTCGTGCACTGGACAACGCCTCCAACCAAGTGCGGAAGCCAGTCAGGCTATAGCTTGACTACAAGACATGTTGTTGAACCATTCCCCACTCATAATTACGAGATTCAGTTGTTCGATGTTTTGAATACCAGTCAGGGACGCCCAAATTTCCCAGGGTCCGTCAAAAACGACGACGAACCCTTGGTATACCACTTTAGGGGGTCCCTAAAAGAGACATATGACCCAAACATCGCCATATGACCAGAGGTGGTTTCCAGGAGTTTCGGGTATGAAAAGATGTTTCCAGGTTCACAAACAAAACATACGAAACAAAAAAAAAGGAAAACAAGGGACACCAAAAACAAGTAAGAAACTGCCTATTTAAAAAACAAATGATGTCCATGTTTTGCTTGTGTTGTTTTGTTGGACACCCGAATTTCCCCACGATTTCCCACGAGTTTCGTGTCTTTTTCCCCCCAACAGATCCCCGTCTGGGGCCGTTTCGAGCTCCGCGTCTCACTCCTTCTCGGTTCCGGGCGTTGCTGAAGACGTTTTGGAGCTGGATGGCGCAGGCTCCAAACCAGCTCAAGACCTCCTGTTTTTTTCAGGTATGGAGGCGCAGATCTACCGCCAATATACCACCAAGATAAGGTTGTAAGGTGGTATAGGGGTCCCTTATATAAGTGGTATGTAACCTCCATACCTCCAAAACCCTTACCAGAAAATGGTGTAGAAGAAAGCAGCTGGTTTCTACTATGAGTTTCTGGGTTTGTTGTTTCATGTTGTTTTGCAAGCGCGGCTGGTTTCTACTACTTGGTTGCCCAGTGGGTTTAGGGAAAACACGGACCTGCAACCTGTTTTTTGTTGGTTGACTTTGAAGGGAAACCCAGCCAAAAAAATGTGTTTTGTTTCTATGATGATGATACTGGGGCTGTTATCAACTTAGCTCGAAACCTAGGACTCCTGCAAAAAAAATGTTATTTTTTGCGAATGGTTAGTGAAAAACAATCAGGGAAACCCCAAAAATGCAAAAAAGGACAAAGTGGACCTAACTCTGGCGAAGTCAAAACATGTTTTTGGCAGAAGTTACCAAGGAACCATGCCGGTTTCTCAAACGTATCCTCAAAAACTTGGCCAAAACTGGTTCCAGGTTGAGTAGGAACCAAGTTTAGCACCTTTATGGCAGATTCCCACTAAACACCAAAAAGTACAAAAAACAGTAAAATGCTCCCCAACAACAACCAAGTTCTGCCATCTTCTGTTTGGGGTACAGCCTTACAAGCTTATAGTATTGGAAAAGGGGTGCCCCGCGGCAGGGGAATCCCAACCGTACGGGAGTGAACTGGGAAACACACCCCAGTCGGACTACTAAAATGTGTGGAATCCACACATGGAAACCGATTTTGAAGGCGCACTCTACTTGGAGGGGCAGCCTACTTAGTGGTTAGTAAGTAGGGTTATAACCCACAAATCGTGGGGTTACCCTGGTTACTAACCACTAAGCAGGCTGCCCCTCCAAGTAGTGGTGGGGTTGTATCACTTTTGAGGGACCCCCCTGAGTCGGGTAGTTTCCAATAGCTTCCTTTTGAAACAACCCCCGGGGCACCTCGGAAAGAGACACCTTCTGGGAAACAGCTGGGTTGCCATATGGGTTTGTCTTTTTTTAAGGGACCCCCCCAAAGTGGTTAGTTTCCGCTAAATTCCCTTTAAAACCAACCAAAAAGGGGGGTCCCTCAAAAAAAGACAAACCCATATGAGCAGCGTTCGATCCATTTCTGTGGTTTGACAAAGACTCCCCCAGTCGTGGGGGTTTACAAATCTCGGGGCTCAACTGTAAATCCTAGTATGTATGTTAGTTTTATTTCCAGGTCCTTTTGTCACCTACCTTCCCAACTCTTGGTAGGTAGCAAAAAAGTGAATATTTTTTGCAGCTCCCACTAAAGTAATCCGGGAAACCAAAAAACGCAACAAAAAGCTGCAACAAAGTTGGCAAAACAAAAGGACAGGTACACGTGACCAACCTTACCCCTGAGAAATCTAGTTAACATGTGCAAGCACACGAAGCTGTTTTGGGAAGTGTTGGTTGAAATCTAAGAAAACGAGTTCCATTTAGTGGGCAATGTGCGCACTGCGCCTTGGTCGACTACAAGGATGATACAGCGACCCCATGCGTAAAACACGGGCTGAATGCAACACAAGAAGTTCCAGAATAGTGTCTAAGAAACATTATGTTCGACTGGTTGCTTTGATAAAGCTAATGCGGTGTAATATGGATAAACCTCCTCACAGCCAGTAGCAACCCAACAGCCGGCCCAAACAACTGTGATGCAAGGGTTAATCACTTGAAGGCGCGCGCCGCGTGCGGCTTGATGCTTGGGAATCTCGACAGGTAGGCCGGAACATGATCCTAACCAGGAGCCAAGTCTGATTTGCATGGCAGTGAATACGATCGTCATCACATGTCATCCCTGGGCAACGGAGGGCCAGAACATGCATGAGCCATGCAAAAGAAATGATCTGCCACACCTTCCTGCTAACTGCTTACATGCTTGCTCCCCCACCAAGACCATTCTCCTCGTTGGGGAAAGTGGGAAATCTAGCCTCCCCTCTCCAACGCCACCCGTCCCACCGTGAACAAGGCCTGCGCTTCATCTCGTGAGATGTCCTCAGTTGGGAGAGCGCGATTGCCAACGAGCAGGCCACTGCCGGGTCAGCAAATACTTCCAACATTATGTTGTCATGCTTGAAAGGATTTCAAGCGGAATTCAAAAATACATCTCTGGCACAAATCGCATTATGTTGAACATGCAAATCCTGATGTCATGTTTGCCCTGGCAAAAACCGTGTTTTTGAAAATGCAGTTTCTGTTGTCCTGGCGCACATCGCATTTATTGAACGCGCAAATCCTGATTTTAATTGCGCCCTGGTGCAAATCACATTTTTGAAAACTGCATGTTCAAAATACACAATCTTCATTTTCAAAAAACATGCAACAAACTCTTGACAACACGCAAATGCATGACTTTGTTCGATTGCCCGTGCAAAAGCAGCGGGGCAACTGAGGCGCCAGCCCACGATCTGGCCAAGCATCGCTTGGTCTCTCTCCTGCTGGGCAGCAAGATTGAGGGTTGTTGACATGACAGGTTCCAGGCAGGCAAACGCAGGGTTGCAAAAAGCCAGCTGGGGCAAGCGTTGATATGGGGACACTTAGTGGGTAGGGGGGGGGAGCCCCCTTTCTACATTTTTCCTGTGTTCATGGGCATAGCCAACTCCCCCCTGGTCTACATTTTTTGGATGGGGGGGAGGGGGAGGGACCAATGGTTCTACATATGTCATCTGGAGTGCCTACCCCCCCCCCTCCTCTACATTTCAGGTGTCGGCCTCCCCCCCATGCTCTACATGGGCTAAAAGAAACGCCGACCCTTGGCGCTGCCCGCCTCGGCAAAAGGCACAACGCGTGCCAAACAAGTGACACAAAAACGGAAGTGACACAAACAAGCCACGTGCCAAACCGCTAGCCCAACCCCCATGCAAAATGTGAAACGTGCATGTCAAGGTTCCTCCAGACCACAGTAAATGTAGACAGGGGGGGGGGGGTAGCGCATTGAACCTGTATCCAACACCTTCACGTGGTCCACCTGATATCTGGAAGCCACAAATGTAGAAAACTATGACCGACCCTCGGAAATGTAGAATCCAGGCCTCCTACTTTAAGGACCGCCCCCGTCCTCTACATTTGTTAGGGGGCACCCAGCGTTGATGGCATTCTCGTGAGTTGTAGGTAGATTATGTCGCCAACAATTGACAAATTATACCTGCTCGTTGGAAGGAACATGTTTGCTGTTGCTCTCACAGACTGGGCCAAATGTGCAACAATTCGTTAGCCAAGACAATGTCAGTTCAGGGCTCGTTGGCAAAGCGTGCAACATTTCCTTTGCCCAACCCTGATTTTAGTTCCCGCCTGGCTCCTCTGTGCGTGCTGCTGTTGCTGCTGCTGCTGCTGCTGCTGCTGCTGCTGCTGCTGCTGCTGCAGCACCTGGTCCAGTCGCAGGTGCAACTGCTCGTGTGAGCGCCGCAAATGCCGCAACTCCTCCTGTTGCTGCTGTTGCTGGCATTCCTGCCGCGCCTGCTCCCGTGCCTGCTGCACCTGTCGCTGCAGATTGGCATCTGCTTCTTCCTTTTGCTGCCGCAAAAGTCGGCGCAGGGCATCTGCTTCTTCCTTTTGCCGGCGCAGGTTGGCATCTGCTTCTTCCTTTTGCCGCAAAAGCGCAGGGGCATCTGCTTCTTCCTTTTGCCGGCGCAGGTTGGCATCTGCTTCTTCCTTTTGCCGGCGCAGGTTGGCATCTGCTTCTTCCTTTTGCCGGCGCAGGTTGGCATCTGCTTCTTCCTTTTGCTGCCGCAAAAGTCGGCGCAGCCTCTTCACAACCTCCGGAGGATCCTCTGCGCTCCTGGCCGAGCAAATTCACTCCTGCTATCAAAACGACTGGTTGAAATCTAGCGACTTTACTTGTCGGGCCTTTTCAACTTTTTGGCTCCGTTGCCGAACGGCCCTATAGTAAGTAGGTCCGGCTTCAGCTTGCGAGGTCTGTTTGGGGCAGCAGTTCTGAGGAAGCCGTTGAAGCATAGGGTCAACACGCTAGTGGTTGGTTCAAAACAAGCGGAAAAAAGGCGGAAATGTGGAGACAGGGGCTTTTACGAGCGGGTTGTAATATTCCAAGATGTACAGTACGTGGAATGGCGCCCGCGCAACGCCCGATTTCCATTGACCACGTTTGTGCGCAGCGTCCATCAAGCGCAGTCCTACCAGTAGCTATGCTACATCCTACGCATTACACATACGAAACTCGGGTAGTTTTTGCTTGTCTGCGCACCTGGGAATCTATGTTTTGCTGCACATGGGAAAATCACACCACCTTCAGCAGTTTCCCTGTTTTTTGGTGTTCATTGGTGGCCCCTCCTCTTCGGCGTTGGCTCCAGCTCGGCCTCGCTGACATGGCGGCTATTGCCTCCCAATGCTCCGGATTTTTGGGTGAAACAATCGTGTCGATGTTCCGAAGTTTGTCTGATTGAGTACTGAAAACCCGAAGGCGGCACACATGTCCAGAGTATGAAATGGCAAAATGGCGGCACACATGTCTCAAAAACAAATCGGTAAGGAACTACACTCTCGCAGCTCCGGCTGGAAAATAGCAACTTTTAAGTGCAAACGTAGTGCGCGGAGTACATTTCCGAAGCTTCGGCAGCACTTGCACATTAACTTGCACAGAGCAACTAGCGCAGAGTCACTTTCGCAGAGCAACTTGTGCACAGCAACTAGCTCAGAACAACTTCTGTGCAAAGCAACTTGCACAAAGCAACTTGCACGGAGCAACTCGCATACAGCAACTTGCGCAGAGCATGCACCTGCGCAGAGCACTTGTGCAGAGCAACTCGCACAGAATCACTTGCACAGTGTCACTTGCGCAGAGTCACTTGAGTCAATTGCGCAGAATCACTTGCGGAGTCTCACTTGAACAGAGTCACTTGCGCAAAGTCACCTTGCACAGAGCAACTTGCACAAAGTTACCTTGCACAGAGCAACTTGCACAAAGCACTCGCACAAAGCGCTTTGCACAAAGCAACTTGCGCAAACTCACTTGCACAGGGCAACTCGTGCAGAGCAACTTGCGCAGAGCACCTTTCATAGAGCAACTTGCAAGAAGAGAAACTTGCGGACTTCTGCAGAGAAACTTGCAGAGCACCTGCGTAAAGACGCTTGCGCAGAGCAACTTGCACAGGGGCAGGAGCCCCTTCCTTGGCACATGGCAAACAACACTCAAACAAGACCAGCCGCAAGCTGGGGAATTAAGCAGGAAAGCCGGCAAAACAAAACAAAACAAAACAAAACAACCGACCAACCAGCCAGCCAACCAACCAGCCAGCCAACCTAACCAGCCAGCCAGCTTACAAGCCAACCAACCACTGCAAACACTGCAAGGCAACCGTAAAAGGCCCAACAAACCAACCAGTATCAACCAATGCAAGCCAACCAACCAGGCCCTACCCCTCAGTGGCTACTGCTGCGTCCTTTGAGGGGGTCAGATCTCCCCGCTGCCTGCTCCCTCAGCTTCCTCAGCTTCCTCAGCTTCCTCAGCTGGGAATAGCATTGTACGTGTGGCTGGCTCGGAGCAATGCCCCCTGAGACTTGCTGCCAGGCTTGCTTTTGGATTTTAATGCAAAGGCTCCTTTGGTAGAGCTGCAAGCACTGTAAGGTACATTCCCAAACGCAAACATGGAACCTGAAATCCTCATCTTTGCAGAGGAAACCACTTTTCAGGGACCCCTTGTTGGGTTCCATGTTTGGTTTTTGGGAGAATTAGCATTGTTCCGTGCCCAACTCAACCGCAACTGGCCCTCATGTTCTTCCGGTGCATCTCCCGGACCCGGCCCGGAGATGTGGTTTGAATAGCCTGGATCTGTGACAGCTAGCACACTGCCGTTTGCGTTTGAGCAAGCTCCAAGCGAGGTAAAACCCAAACTTGCAACAAATAACAATAGCCCCAGGATATTCATTGAACCGCAGGCACGAAAACCTGATTCCAGAATCCTGCAGCTGCCCAGGCTTGTCTAAACACAGAAACAAGACAGAGCCACGAACCCGAATGCACATCACTTTCTCCAAAACTATATCAAAAAGCCAGCATTGCGCCCGCTACGTTGTCCATGGACAACTCCTTCAAACGCTGTGCTCGACAAAACTCGCACGCCAGAGAAGAGGTTGAGCGATGTCTCTTCTTTGCTCCCCTTCTGCCACCTTTGACTGTTCCTCCCTCCTCTGCGATCTGTCCTGTCTCCTCTTTCCTCTCTCCTCTCTCCTCTCTTTTCTCTTCTTTCTTCTCTCTTCTCTCTGCCCTCTTCTCGCTGAATTCTGATATCTCTTCCTTTTTCTTTCGTCTCTTCCCCTCTCTGCTCTCTTCTTGCGTTGTTCCCGTGATTTACTTTGCTTTCTTCGTTTCTGCTCTCTTCGGTCCTGTTTTCACCCGCGCTTCTTTCATGCCTTCAAGTTGCGACTTTTCGAGCTAGAGCTGGAAACCTGTACTTCGCGTACTAGACTTGTACTACAAAGTTGCAATTTTCGAGCTGGAGCTGGCATCCTGTACTCGCGTACTAGACTTGTACTACAAAGTTGAGATTTTCCAGCTGGAGCTGGAAACCTGTACTTCGCGTACTAGACTTGTACTACAAAGTGGCGATTTTCGAGCTGGAGCTGGAAACCTGTACTTCGCGTACTAGACTTGTACTACAAAGCTGCGATTTTTGGGCTGGAGCTGGAAACCTGTACTTCGCGTACTAGACTTGTACTACAAAGTGGCGATTTTCGAGCTGGAGCTGGCATCCTGTACTCGCGTACTAGACTTGTACTACAAAGTTGAGATTTTCCAGCTGGAGCTGGAAACCTGTACTTCGCGTACTAGACTTGTACTACAAAGTGGCGATTTTCGAGCTGGAGCTGGAAACCTGTACTTCGCGTACTAGACTTGTACTACAAGCTGCGATTTTTGGGCTGGAGGGAAACCTAGCGTACTAGACTTGTACTACAAAGTTGCAGATTTTCGAGCTGGAGCTGGCATCCTGTACTTCGCGTACTAGACTTGTACTACAAAGTTGAGATTTTCCAGCTGGAGCTGGAAACTGTACTTCGCGTACTAGACTTGTATACAAAGTTGAGATTTTCCAGCTGGAGCTGGAAACCTGTACTTCGCGTACTAGACTTGTACTACAAGTGGCGATTTTCGAGCTGGAGCTGGAAACCTGTACTTCGCGTGCTAGACTTGTACTACAAAGTTGTGATTTTCGAGCTGGAGCTGGCATCCTGTACTCGCGTACTAGACTTGTACTACAAAGTTGAGATTTTCCAGCTGGAGCTGGAAACCTGTACTTCGCGTACTAGACTTGTACTACAAAGTTGCGATTTTCGAGCTGTACTTCGCATACTAGACGTCTCACATCTCTCGTCTCGCTTCTCGCTTCTCACTTGTCACTTATCACTCCTCACTTCTCACGTCCCCCTTCTCACTTCTCACTTCTCACATCTCTCTTCTCACATCTCTCTTCTCCCTCCTCACTTCTCACTTTTCACTTCTCACTTCTCACTCCTCTCTTCTCACTTCTCACTCCTCACTTCTTACTTCTCACTTCTCACTTCTGACTCCTCACTTCTCGCTTCTCACTTCTCACTCCTCACTTCTCACTTTTCACTTCTCACTTTTCACTTCTCACTTCTCACTCCTCTCTTTTCACTTCTCACTCCTCACTTCCCACTTTGCACTTCTCACTGGCCCCTCCTCACTCCTTACTTCTCACTCCTTACTTTTCACTTCTCACTTGTCACTTCCAACTTTCAACTTTTCACTTTTCTCTTCCCTCTGCTCTCTTCCCACTTCTCACTTCTCACTTGTCACTTCTCACTCCAAACTCCTCACTCCTCACGTCTCACTTCTCTCTTCTCACTTTTGCCTCCTCACTTCCCACTTGTCACGCCCCACTTCTCACTTCTCACTCTAAACTCCTCACTTCTCACTCCTCTCTCCTCACTCTTCACTTCTCACTTCCCACTTCTCACTCCTCACTTTCCACTTCTCACTTCTCACTCCTCAATCCTCATTTTTTGCTTACTTCTCACTTCTCACTTTCCACTCCTCACTCCTCACTTCTCTCTTCTCTCTTCTCCCTTCCCACGTCTCACTTCCCACTTCTCACTTGTCACTTCTCACTTCAACCTTCTCACTTCTCACTTCTCTCTTCTCACTTCTCACTCCTCACTTCTCACTCCTCACTCCTCACATCCCACTTTGCACTTCTCATTTCTCACTCCTCGCTTCTCACTCCTCACTCCTCACTTCCCACTTCTAACTTTTCACCTCTCACCTCTCACTTCTCACTCCTCACTCCTCACTCCTCGCTCCTTACTTGTCACATCTCTCTTCTCTCTTCTCTCTTCTCACTTCCCACTTCCATCTTCTCACTTCGCACTTCTTTCTTCTTTCTTCTCACGTCTCACTTCTCACTCCTCACTTCACACTTTTCACTTCTCACTTCCCGCTTCTCGCTTCTCGCTTCTCACTTCTCACTCCTCACTTCTCACTTTTCACTTCTCACTTCCCGCTTCCCCCTTCTCACTTTTCACTTCTCACATCTCACTGCTCACCTCTCACTTCTTACTTCTCACTCCTCAATTCTCCCTTCTCACTTCTCACTCCTCAATTTTCACTTCCCACTTCCCACTTCTCACTTCTCACTCCTCACTCCTCACTTCTCACATCTCTCTTCTCTCTTCTCTCTTCTCACTTCCCACTTCCAAAATCTTACTTTTCACTTCTCACTTCCCTCTTCTCACGTCTCACTCCTCAATCCTTACTTCGCGCTTCCCACTTGCAACTTCCAACTTCTCACTTATCACTTCCCACTTCCCACTCCTCACTTCCCACTTCTCACTTCTCACTTCACTTCGCACATCTCCCTGCTCACCGCTCACTTCTCACTTCTCACTCCGCACTTCTCACTTCTCACTTATCACGTTTCACTCCTCTCGTTCACTGCTTACTCCTGACTTACCACTCTTCACTCCTCACTTCCCACATCTCACTTCACACCTCTCACTTCCCACTTCTCACTCCTCACTTCCCACTTCTCACTTCTCGCTTCACTTCTCACATCTCCCTGCTCACCTCTCACTTCTCACTCCTCACTTCTCGCTTCACTTCTCAATCTTCACTTCTCACTTTTCACTTCTCACCTGCCACTTCTCACTTCTCAATCTTCACTTCTCACTTTTCACTTCTCACATCTCTCTTCTCACTTGCCACTTCTCACTCCTCACTTCCGACTTCTCACTTCTCACTCCTCACTCTTTACTTACTTCTCACTTCTCACTTCTCACTCCTCACTCCTCACTCCTCACTTTTCACTTCTCACTTCTCACTGCTCTTTTCTCACGTCTTACTTCTCACTTCCCACCTCTCACTCCTCACTCCTCACTTCTCGCTTCTCACTTCTCATGTCTCACTTCTCACTTTTCACTTCTCACTTCTCACTTCTCACTTCCGACTTCCCACTTCCAACTTCTCACTTCTCACTGCCCACCTCTCACTTCTCACTTCTCACTCCTCACTCCTTACTTCTCACTCCTTACTTCCCACTTCTCACTTCTCACCTCCAACTTTCAACTTCTCTCTTCCCACTTCTCACTCCAAACTCCTCACTCCTCACCTCTCACTTTTCTCTTCTCACTTCTCACTTCCCACTTCTCACTCCTCCCTTCTCACTTTTCACTTCTCACTTTCCACTTCTCACTCCTCACTTCCCACTTCTCACTTCTCACTCCTCACTTCTCACTTTTTTACTTTTCACTTATCACTTCTCACTCCTCACTTCTCTCTTCTCTCTTCTCTCTTTTCACTTCTCACTTCCCACTTCTCACTTGTCACTTCTCACTCCAAACTCCTCACTCCTCACTTCTCACTTCTTTTTTTCTCACTCCTCACTTCCCACTTCTCACTCCTCACATTCCCCTTTTCACTTCTCTCTTCTCACTCTCCACTTCTCTCTTCCCACTTCTCACTTCTCACTCCTCACTTCACTTCCCACTTCCCACGTCTCACTCTCCTCACTCCTTACTTCTCACTCCTTACTTCTCACTTCTCACTTCGCACTTGCAACTTCCAACTTCTCACTTTTCTCTTCTCACGTCTCACTCCTCACTTCCCACTTCTCACTCCTCGCTTTTCCTTTATCACTTCTCACTTCTCACTCCTCACTTCTCACTTTTCACTTCTCACTTCCCACTTCTCACTTCTCACTTCTCACTTCTCACTCCAAACTCGTCACTCCTCATTTCCCACTCCTCACTTCTCACTTTCAACTTCCAACTTCTCGCTTCTCTCTTCTCTCTTCTCTCTTCGCACTTCCCACTTCTCATTTCCCACTTCTCACTTCTCACTTCTCACTCCTCACTTCCCCCTTCTCACTTCTCACTTCTCACTTCCAACTTCCAACTTCCCACTTCCCACTTCTCACTTCTCACTTCCAACTTCCAACTTCTCACTTCCCACTTCTCACTTCCCACTTCACACTTCCCACTTCTCACTTTTCACTTCTTCCCACCATTTCCCACCCCTCGCTTCTCACTCCTCTCTCCTCACTTCTCACTTGTCACTTCCAATCTCCTCACTCCTCACTTCTCACCTTTCACTTCTCACTCCTCACTCCGCACTTCTCACTGCAAAATTCGCGCCGCGCCACAGCGAGAGCGCTTGGACCCGCCCAAAGTCCGCAGAGGGTTCTCTTTGCATTCAACAAATTCGCACCGCGCCACAGCGAGAGCGACTTGACCCGCCCAACGTGCGCAGAGGGCCCACTTTGCATTTGCAAAATTCGCGCCGCGCCACAGAGAGAACGCTTCGACCCGCCCAAAGTCCGCAGAGGGTTCTCTTTGCATTCGCAAAATTCGCACCGCGCCACAGCGAGAGCGCCGCGACCCGCCCAAAGTGCGCAGAAGGTTCACTTTGCATTCAACAAATTCGCGCCGCGCCACAGCGAGAGCGACTCGACCCGCCCAAAGTGCGCAGAGGGTTCGCTTTTCACTCGCAGAATTTGCGAAACGCAACATCACCGCGAAACCTTCCCCCACTGGAATGGCAATGAAATCCCGCCAAACGTGCCTTTTGCAGACACGTCAAAACGAGCCGATTGTACGACAGGGCCAACGAAAAAGACACTCGAGCCAACGCTTGCGCGAGCATTCCAAGCAAGACACCTCAAAACGTCACCCCTGGAAACGCGAACCCCATTGTATTTACAACGCGGACACGAAACCTCACGAAACACTGCGCCTGCGCAGCGAAACGACATCGAAGACACAAAGAGCTACGATTGCCGCACAGGGCCAACAAAAACAACGCATCGCAACTCATCCAAATCACGCGTTCTGCGTTTTCCCCACTGGCACGGAATTTCGGACCCTGCGACGACGAGCCTGCGACCCGACCGCGACGAGCCGACGCACGCCACGCGAACACGGGTCCAGCCCCCAGACCCCCAGACTATAAACGGGAACCCTTCGCTACGCATTCGGGAAAAACACATACTGGCACCACTGGGACACGGGACGGAGATCCGAATCTGGGTGAAGCCACAAGGTGAGACATCAGCATGGCGCTGATCTCAGGCCGAGCTGCGCGACGTGCTTCTGCAGCTCGAACTCAGCAGCGCAATGAATCGAACATCGGATGTGTCCATCTGGGCACATTATGATAATTGCCAAACTAGTTTCAAGGGAATCAAAGGGAGAATTCACCACCTCGTCCCTTTGAAGGAACCATGTAGGATGACCTCGTTAGCTCATGGGTCGCTTTAAGTTGCCCAAATCAATGCTGACCATACCACTCAAAGGGTTCAAGTATCAAAGAATACCTGGTACTGCCCACGAGAGCCATAGTTTGGGCTCTATTGCGGGGTCATCGCATCACGGGGAGAAAAAACTCGTTCAAAGCAAGTCCACCGCCTTGAGGTACAACTTGCAACATTCAGATCTCATGATCTCATCTGGGCCACAGAGTGGCAGACACATATCCCTCTTACGTGGGAAAGGTAAGGTGAGATTACCACCAGTGGGTAGCCCCAGAGTCGCATAGCCATCAACCTTTCTGGTAGGAACCTTTCTGAATCAAGAGGCTTTGGTTTCTGAATCGTTCACTGTTGGTTTGTGAATCGGTCATTGTTGGTTTCTGAATCGTTCCTGTGTGTGGTTTCTGAAGCGCTCCAACTTGGTGTCTGAATCGCACATCCGGTGGCTTCTGAATCGTGGAGCATGGTTTCTGAAGCGCGCAGCAGTGGATTCTGAATCGCCCCAGTTTGGTTCCTGAATCGTTTGTTCGATTTCCTGGACAAACCCAAGAATGCAAACACAACAACAGGAGGACCCACCCCAAATTCCAAAAACACATAAAACACAAAAACTGAAGCGTGTTTCTCAACAATAGGGGGTGGATTATCTAGGTAACATGCAGCAGCCAGCCATGGCCAGCCACAGGCAACATGCTGACGACCCTGACCGACTGGCAATTGCGGATGGGGGCTTGCCAACCAAGCCAGCGTCAATTCCCATCAACTCCGCGTTGCTTCAACATCTTCAACATGTCAACTTGACGCGAGCACAGCGAGCTCAGCCTGCAAACGCAAGGAATCCCAGGCAAAGCGGGCTTAGCCTGCAAAAGCAAGGCCTCCCCTTCTGAAACAAGCAGCTCGTCGCTCAGACCAACGCAGCCCACAGCAAGCACGTTTGCGCATCGCCTTGCTGTCACGTGCGTGGGCAATTTGAGCGAGTATTTTGCACAAAGCACTTGCGCGGAGAAACGTGCGCAGAACATCTTGCGCAGAGGGTTTGACCAGAGCAGCGTGCGTAGAGCAATTTGCGCAGATACGCTCACGCAGAAAGAGCAGCGTGGGCAACAATGCTTTCGGGCCAATCGTCCTCTAGTATGTTTAAGGTAGGGATGTACAAACCGCATTAGATTTCCCAAGAATTCTCTTGTTCTTGCCCCGCCCCCCCGGCCACTAAGGGCCCGACGGCAAGCCTGCGATCCAGAGTGGTTCTTGTAGTTTTGAGGGCGCAGGCGTTGTTGGCATTTCGTGCAGAGTATCTTGCCATCCTGGCCTTTCGGCAGGCTCGAAGCATTGGGTCCTTCCTCCATTTCTCCTCGCTCCTCCCGGCGGTGGAAGAGAAAGGGCTCGAATAGACACTTCCCCCTAATCACCAGTAAAGGCGGCGGAGCCTCTTTATGTTTTGTTTACGGCCTTTTTTCGCTTCAAGTGTTATAATCACTTAAGCAAACTAAAGTAAACCAGGCTTTTGACAAAGGCCTGAGTCACTCAGGGCGAAGAAGCACTGGAAAAAGGGCTCGAATAGACACTTCCCCCTAATCACCAGTAAAGGCGGCGGAGCCTCTTTATGTTTTGTTTACGGCCTTTTTTCGCTTCAAGTGTTATAATCACTTAAGCAAACTAAAGTAAACCAGGCTTTTGACAAAGGCCTGAGTCACTCAGGGCGAAGAAGCACTGGAAAAAGGGCTCGAATAGACACTTCCCCCTAATCACCAGTAAAGGCGGCGGAGCCGGTGGGCGGAAGTTTCTATAGGAAGGGGCATGTTGATTCTTTCCTGCAAGTGTTCTGCCAATCTCTTCTTCTTCTTCTTCTTCTTCTTCCTTCTTTTTGTTCTTGTCTTGTTCTTGTCTTGTCTTGTCTTGTCTTGTCTTGTCTTGTCTCGTCTTCTCTTCTCTTGTCTTCTCTTCTCTTCTCTTCTCTTCTCTTCTCTTCTCTTCTCTTCTCCTCTCTTCTTCTCTTTATGTTTGCTTTTATTATTCTTTTCTTCTGCTCTTCTCTTCTCTTCTTGTTATCTTTTTTTTCTTCTCTTCGCTTCTCTTCTCTTGTCTTCTCTGCTGTTCTCTTCTTGTCTCTTCTCTTCACTTCTCTTCTCTTCTCCTCTTCTGCGCAATGTTCGAGCTGCAGCTGGAAAAGTGTACTTTGAATACTACTTTCGTACTTAATTTTTCAAATTTTCGAGCTGCAGCTGGAAAAGTGTACTTCGAATACAACTTTGTGTTTTTTTTCTAAATTTTCGAGCTGCAGCTCGAAAAGTGTACTTCGAATACTACTTTCGCACACTTTTTCAATTTTCGAGCTGCGGCTGGAAAAGTGTACTTCGAATGCTACTTTCGTACTTAACTTTTCCCATTTTCGAGCTGCAGCTGGACAAGTGTACTTCGAATACTACTTTCGAACTTAACTTTTCCAATTTTCCAGCTGCAGCTGGAAAAGCGTACTTCGAATACTACTTTCGTACTTAACTTTTCCAATTTTCGAGCTGCAGCTGGAAAAGTGTACTTCGAATACTACTTTCGCGCTAAACCTTTGCAATTTTCGAGCTGCAGCTGGAAAAGTGTACTTTCCCTAGGATCCCGGGACCTCAATATACATGGTTTCCTAGAAGACCTTGATTTTGAGGAACCGGAAAACGGTTCCTGTTTTTTGAGGTCTTGGAATAGATGGCCTCCCCGCGGCTTTGCGTAGCAAAAGGCGCGTCCCTGTTTTCATTCACGGGGCCATGCGCCCATGCACAGTGCAAGCGTTGAGCTGCATGTTTCAGCTCTCAAATTTGCAAAATGTAACGTCTATTGTTGTCAAACGAGCTGTTCAAACATGCTGACTGGCGTCCACAGGGACCGCGTCTTGCAGTGGGCTCCTGATGTCCGATTAGCGCTGGCCACAGCAGAGTACTGCGACAGCTTGGACTTCTACTTCGAAGATGGGGTCCTGGAATACGACACAGCTTCCACTGCAGTTCGGAGGTCTCCGACCACTGCAGAGGTGCTACTTGGATGCAGCTGCTGTACTTCATATGTAGTCAATGTTTATGCCTGTTGATTTCTTCTTCTTGACATGTTGCCCGCGTGGAAGCAAACCAGGAAAGCAGCTGGAAAAGCTCGACGGCAGGTGGAGTACTTCGCTTCGAAGAAGTTGAAGGTGCGGCCGCCAAAGCTCAAGAAGCGACCAGCTGCCGCCAAAGCGGTGGCAAAAACAATACACAAAGGCCGACACTTGGTGCTGCGTCTGCGAAGCATCAGCGGTACCAACCAGAGCAAGCGGTACGCTGTTCTCCCCCTCCCGCCGAAGGTGGCAGGGCAAGGGCATGCGGCTGGAGCTGAAAGTTTTTTGGAGACCGCCTTGAAGATTCAGACGAAGCTGCGTCCTGGACACCACGTTGCTGGAGTGGATGGGGCAAAATCTCTGCATGCAGCTGCCAAGCACTGCTCGGTGCCAGCCATACCCAATGTTTCACATATGAGATTTGTGTTCACACCTCTTGGAGCAGTGCCTAAGAAAGGGTTAGACGCAACAGCCACTGCCTTGTTTCGCAAGCTGTGCGCAGATCAAGTCTGCGCTGAGAGGCGCAGTGCGTTTATCTTGGCAGCTGGAGACCAAGCAGCGGAGAGCGTCGCGGCAGTGTCCAAGACACAGCTCCGAAGAATGAATCTTTTGAGCGCAACGGCACGCGATGAAATCGAACATCGCAACGTGTTGGCCGCTCACTTCTTGAACAAGCACCCGGGCATGGACGCTGTTTTGGGAGCACTCGCTTTGTTTCGAAGTAAAGCTTCCAAAGGCTTAGCTTGTCCAAGCGCCTGCTTTAAGCAGCCGCTTTGGAAATGCTGACAGATGTTTTCCCTGGCGAAACAGGGGACTCTCACACGGGGGATGGGCAGGCACCCTTCCAATCATGTGGCAGGCGCATGAGATTAGACACCACCCGCAGTTTGTGCAGACAGTTTCACACTTTTTCATTGCTCCAGCACTCCACAACATGTGCACGTGGACGAAAACGGCATTTTTCCTCAGTTTTGTGAAGATTGTCTTGTTCTACATCCTAATCCCTTTGCGTGGCCTTCTTGAAGCAAAACGGACAAACACGCTGTTTGTCCGTACAAAACTAACACCGGCTGCACTGACTTAACTTGCCATTGACATGCGAAAACCAGTCAGGATCAGGCATCAGTAGGGCTGCTGCATGGACATCCTTGTTCGTTCTCCGGGAAACCCTCAGTCCGCGCCGTCTTCTCTTTAGCTAACATTTCTCTTTAGCTAACTCTTCTCTCTAGCTACCTCTTCTCTTTAGCTAACATTTCTCTTTAGCTACCTCTTCTCTTTAGCTAACATTTCTCTTTAGCTAACTCTTCTCTCTAGCTACCTCTTCTCTTTAGCTAACATTTCTCTTTAGCTAACTCTTCTCTCTAGCTACCTCTTCTCTTTAGCTAACTCTTCTCTTTATCTTCTCTCTAGCTAACGTTTCTCTCTAGCTAACATCTCTCTTTAGCTAACTCTTCTCTCTAGCTACCTCTTCTCTTTAGCTAACTCTTCTCTTTATCGTCTCTCTAGCTAACGTTTCTCTCTAGCTAACATTTCTCTTTAGCTAACTCTTCTCTCCAGCGACCTCTTCTCTTTAGCTAACACTTCTCTTTAGCTAACATTTCTCTTTATCTTCTCTCTAGCTAACGTTTCTCTCTAGCTAACATTTCTCTTTAACCAACTCTTCTCTCTAGCTACCTCTTCTCTTTAGCTAACACTTCTCTTTAGCTAACTCTTCTCTCTAGCTAACGTTTCTCTCTAGCTAACATTTCTCTTTAGCTAACTCTTCTCTCTAGCTACCTCTTCTCTTTAGCTAACACTTCTCTTTAGCTAACTCTTCTCTTTAGCTCTCTAGCTAACTTTAGCTCTCTCTAGCTTCTCTCTAGCTAACATTCTCTTTAGCTAACAGCTAACTCTTCTCTCTCTTTCTATCTTCTCTTTAGCTAACTCTTCTCTCTAGCTACGTTCTCTCTAGCTAACATTTCTCTTTAGCTAACTCTTCTCTCTAGCTACCTCTTCTCTTTAGCTATAATTTCTCTTTAGCTAACCCTTCTCTCTAGCTACCTTTTCTCTTTAGCTAGCCTTTCTCTTTAGCTAACTCTTCTCTTTATCTTCTCTTTAGCTAACATTTCTCTTTAGCCAACTCTTTTCTCTAGCGACCTCTTCTCTTTAGCTAACACTTCTCTTTAGCTAACTCTTCTCTTTATCTTCTCTCTAGCTAACGTTTCTCTCTAGCTAACATTTCTCTTTAGCTAACTCTTCTCTCTAGCTACCCCTTCTCTTTAGCTAACACTTCTCTTTAGCTAACTCTTCTCTTTATCTTCTCTCTAGCTAACGTTTCTCTCTAGCTAACATTTCTCTTTGGCTAACTCTTCTCTGTAGCTACCTCTTCTCTTTAGCTAACTCTTCTCTTTATCTTCTCTCTAGCTAACGTTTCTCTCTAGCTAACATCTCTCTTTAGCTAACTCTTCTCTCTAGCTACCTCTTCTCTTTAGCTAACTCTTCTCTTTATCGTCTCTCTAGCTAACGTTTCTCTCTAGCTAACATTTCTCTTTAGCTAACTCTTCTCTCTAGCGACCTCTTCTCTTAAGCTAACACTTCTCTTTAGCTAACTCTTCTCTCTAGCTAACGTTTCTCTCTAGCTAACATTTCTCTTTAGCTAACTCTTCTCTCTAGCTACCTCTTCTCTTTAGCTAACACTTCTCTTTAGCTAACTCTTCTCTTTATCTTCTCTTAGCTAACGTTTCTCTCTAGCTAACATTTCTTTAGCTCTTAGCTAACTCTTCTCTCTCTTTAGCTAACCTCTTCTCTTTTCTCTTTTAGCTAACTCTTCTCTTAGCTAACTCTTCTCTTTAGCTAACTCTTCTCTTTTAGCTAACTCTTCTCTTTATTTCTCTTTAGCTAACTCTTCTCTCTAGCAACTCTTCTCTTTAGCTAACTCTTCTCTTTATCTTCTCTTTAGCTAACTCTTCTCTCTAGCTAACGTTTCTCTCTAGCTAACATTTCTCTTTAGCTAACTCTTCTCTCTAGCTACCTCTTCTCTTTAGCTAACACTTCTCTTTAGCTAACTCTTCTCTTTATCTTCTCTCTAGCTAACGTTTCTCTCTAGCTAACATTTCTCTTTAGCTAACTCTTCTCTTTATCTTCTCTCTAGCTAACGTTTCTCTCTAGCTAACATTTCTCTTTAGCTAACTCTTCTCTCTAGCTACCTCTTCTCTTTAGCTAACACTTCTCTTTAGCTAACACTTCTCTTTAGCTAACTCTTCTCTTTATCTTCTCTTTAGCTAACTCTTCTCTCTAGCTAACGTTTCTCTCTAGCTAACATTTATCTTTAGCTAACTCTTCTCTCTATCTTCTCTTTAGCTAACTCTTCTCTCTAGCTAACTCTTCTCTTTAGCTAACTCTTCTCTTTATCTTCTCTTTAGCTAACTCTTCTCTCTAGCTAACTCTTCTCTTTAGCTACTTGCTTTTCTCTCTAGCTATTCTTTTCTAGCCTGCTCTTCATTTAACTTTCGCACTACGGATGTTTCTGCTAAACTTCCTTTGAGCAATATACCCTATTAATAAATATCGCATTTTTTCGGAAAATAAAAGCCCCCCAATACTAGTTTTAGCCTGTCGCTGGGAGCGACCCAGGAATTTTGAGCGTTTTTCATGTCCTTTGCGCTGTCATGTGACGAGCATGTTCGGATCTTGTCAGGATGGCAAACAGGGGGGTGGGGGGGTTCTGATGTGACAGACAGGCAGCACAGGCATGGCCGCGCCGCAGCCCCATGTTCAATGATCAGAGCACTTTGTTGCACTTACCCGCGCCGGGTGCTGGTAAGAACTCATGTGCTTCTGCGTCTTTTGTGTTGCTGTTGTGTTTCGAAGCTGCGCTGATGGATTTGGGGTGAAACCACCACTTGATTTGGGGGGAAACCACCAAGAAGGCTTTGACTGGATACCACTTTTCCAGCTATAGCATCCCAGAATCCTCCACAAAATGCAAAGTTTTTACTTTCCATGTTAGCATATGAAAACCCTTGGGCAGGAACACGACCAGTGCCAGAGAGCGTGGAAGACATTCTCTACCAGTTCCGTCTTGTGTTAGGTGGAAAAGCAACGCTCCAAAGTCTTTAGCGACGGAGCTAAAGCATGGGCTCGGGCCTGTTCTGATGCTCGGTTCCTCATGATGCTGTGTGCCAGATGAAGATTGAGTTCACGCGTCGCCTGAGTGCCATTTCGAATAAACACGTTTGTTCCATTGCGGGGACGCAGAGCGTAGACTCCTATTGGGGGCAATTAAAAGCTTCATGCCGAATCAAATCAGGGGTAAAAATCCCCACGAAGGTCTCAACGAGAGACTCTGGAACTACGTGTGCAGCGATTAATATGTTCAGGTGGAACACGAAGGAGTGTCTTTGGCAAGCTGTGGGAAGGCTTGCTGCTGCACAGCCCTGAAGCCGAGGCGAAAAAGCAGCATTCTGCAGTTTTCCCCGGGAGTGTTTCGAATCCCACTGCAATAGCGACGCGCCGGCTCCAAGTTACGGTATTTGCAATGAATTTGAAGGCTTTTTTGAGCACGTCAGTTGCACAACATGCAAAAAACATAGGATTCTGCAAATCCACCGCAACTTCGGGGGCAAAATTCCCAGGGTCACAGACAACGACTCAGCCTAGTTTTAGATTAGGCAATGCTAAACTCAATGCTAATCTGCCCAAACCCCTAGTCTGCCCAACTCAAGCCTTATGAGGGGGACCTCAGAACCCTGCCTGTCTCTACCCGACTGCCTGCCTGGGCTTGTTGGTTTTTGAGAAACCCTCCTCAAATGATAAGCTTCCAGAAATTAATTACTTCTCAGGGTACCCATTCTGACACAAAAGTACCCTATTAATAAATATTGTTCCGGGCCCAGAGAATATTTATTAATCGGGGGGGACCCCCTATATATTTTTAGGGGGAAGCGATTAGTAGGATGCTCTCATCAAGGGGGAGTCACCCTTCCCAACCATTATGATGCTCTAACGCTCTCCCACATTTAAACTGCGATCTCAAACAAAACGTGTACCCAAAGGAGAAACTTGCAAACCGGGGAAACAGCCCCGGACGCCCCTTCCCTGCACCGTACACCCAGGGAAAATGGCTTTGTTCTGGGAAATTGAGTCCTGGAACCAGGGAGCCGCGGTAAAACACAAATAATTGCAGCACGCATGAGTCGTTGGAAGCACCTTACATGAAAGGACCCAATTCATTGCTACACATCTTTCGCCCTCTTTCTTAGGGAGGGAACATGTCAATGCAATCAATGGTCCACCTGTCGTTATAATTACAGACCAAGCAGTCAGAGTTTGGCCAATGCCCTACAGGACGGGATCGAGGCCATCTTTTGTGTTTCTCGTGTCCTGCCTCCTCCTTCACTTCCTGTCGACCTCGCTGTAGTAATCGCAACTCCTGCGAGGGAAGGGCATATGATGACCGGCGACTGCCGCTTTGAAGTTGTGTGCAATGCTCCTCGTCCAGCTCCTCATCCGGCGCCTGCCTTAACTGGTCTTGACCTCAAGCTGAACCCAAGAAACGGCTTGTGTGGGAGCACTCCAAGTTGTTTGGTTGAATTCCTCCGTTCCACATGCCCAGTGCAACCGGAAAAGCCCAACCCCATTCTATTTCTTACGGGTATGTCTCGAAGTAGGAGGTCTCCCAAAAACAATCTGGTGGACACACATAATATGTTTGTTCGCCAAAGCTTGTCTCCAAGTAGTGCCCCGCGCATGCACGGTCCGAAAGGAAAGTAACAAAACAGGGGGGAAACGCATGCATGCTTGAGCCAAACACGACACGGCCCAAGTGTATATTAATGTATCTTATGTACAGCATGCAGTGATTCAAAATTCGCCTGTTACTGGGGTTCCTTTCGCATTGTGGCACAGAGCTTTCACTGCCGGGTTCACTGGAAATTCGCTCTTGGGCCTCTTTGAGTTCTTATTCAAGGAACGAGGAGCCCCGAAGGATTGATGCACATGCCCCTAACTCCAGTAAGCAAGTGTGTTGAGCGTGGCACATGTGTTGTCCTTCTTTCTGCTCTTCTTCGGCTGGCCCGGCTGGCCCTTTACGAGTTCAAAGGCCTGCTGCACACGCTGCTTAAAGTTAAACCGTTCATGCACGCCGGGTTCAATATGATGGCACTCACACTTGGGCCACTTGGGTGTTGCCGAGAAATCCGGTCTGGATCGTTCCGCGGCCCACGTGTTGTGATCCAGACGTCTGGAACGAGCTCGCTGATCCAGACGTCTGCATTGTAGGTTTTTCGACTTGGCTTTGGACCATGGGCTTGATTGCAATCCCAAAGTGGTGGCCAACAATATGTGGCTAAGTGGTCTCACAAGGGACGACTTGTTTCACAGGCCATGCCAAGCTTGAGTTCTGGCCACGCAAGCTCCCATTGCCATACTCAAGCCCAAACAGTAAAGACTCTGAATTCACCGGAGGCTCGAAAGCCTGCGCCGGATTAGCCAACAAACTAACCGGGGCCATCTATCTTCCTGGCCAAGTGAAGCAAACCCTGATTGAAGGAGCACTATAGATACTACCCGCTTTACTTGCTGAAATCGTTTCACCCCCGTTTTGCGAGCTCGTTTTGCTTTAAGGAGCCCTGGTCAAAGGCCCAAGGCCTGGGGCCCTTGGAACCCTAAATCATCCTAAACCCCTGGTGGGTTCATAACGTGGACACCCCTCTTTGATTTTCTATGTGCAAAATAAAAAACTGCGGGGAAAATAGACAATTATTGCTATTTAGCACCCGGTTTTGATTCGGAGAACCGTGAACCTGGGGGCTTGACGGGCTTGCCTCCTCCCCTCCGCGATCATGTCCATCATCTTCCGGCTCCTTGGCATGGCATAAACCAACGTCCCTTTTGGGGGGTACCTTGGAACCTTTTTTCCCACCCTCGACCCCTTTTTCTCGCCCTGTTTGTCTTTTAGAACCTTGGCCGATGTTTTAACGCAAATTTGATAAATAAATATGTATATATATATATATGTATATATTGAGAAACTCAGCGCAGCGAACACACGTGATTTTCCACAAGGGCAAAAGGGGGTCCTCCCCAGGTGATTGGGCCGAAAGGCCTACACAATTCCACATGCTGCAAGAGTCAAGGGCAACGGGGCTCTACACGAAACCTCAGCGGCTCAAAGTTTCTGTGCCCTTGACTCTGCTCGCTTTGGTGAGGCTGTCCGCCAACGTGTCTCCATCCTCCACCCACCTCACCTGGCCCTGCAAGCACCTGAGCTCTTCCTTGAGCAACTGCACATCGATCGCCGTCCGGCGATCCTGTCCACCATATGAGTCCTTCGTCACTATGTCAAACAATGACTTTGCGTCCACCACCGCCAAGGACTCCCGCAGCTCTGAGTCTTCACCATCCCTCACCAAAGCCGTGTAGCCGATCTCTTCGACCTTGTCACGCCATTCTCTCAAGGTGAAACACGGATCGGTGATCTCCTGGTAGACCACCTTGGCCCAAATCAACTCTCCAACCCCACGAGCCAACGACTGTGTCTCTGCTGCCAACGTCGAGTTCACAACCCGCTGCAACTTGCCACTCCGCCAGGGCAAAACATTGGTGGCCGCCTGCTTGCCCTCCAACAGCTCCTCATTGAAGGTGATGATGATGTGGCCTCCCTGAGACCGGTTTTCCTTGGCGTTTCCCCAACTGGCGTCGGTGATGACACCCCACTTCATCCGCTCCAGCTTCTGGATCTGAAGTGCCAGCTGTGGTCGATCTTTGATCTTCTTGACGGCCTTGTTCAACTCCACAATGTCGCCAACCTTCAAGTCCTTCAGCTTTGAAGAGAACATAGACGCCGCACATGATGCATCTGGCCTGCCTTCTTTGCTGATCCAGTTGAAGGCCCCACACACACGCTTCTCGCTTGTGAGACCTCCTCGGCTGTTGCCTGGGCACTGGGGTCAGCCTTGCGCTCCTTCGCAATGTCCACCATGCCGAGCCGTTGCCTCACAAACTTCTCCATATCGATCTTGAGCACACCCTGTTCGATTCGAAGGCGCCTTCCATTGAAGCCCACTCCGTCGCCGTTCACCTCCTCCAGCTTCCCAAATTTGAAGCGTTTGGTGAGTTGCCCAACTCTTCGTTCGTGTTCTGGCGACCCGGCCATAAGAAGGTCGTCCACCAGGATGACTCCTTCCAGCTGGTTCTTGACATGCAGCAGAAACATGCAAGGGTCCATCCTTGCCGGCTTGTATCCGAGCTCCTCCAGCAGCACCTTTCTCAATGTCCTCCTCCAATGCAAGGGCGCGTCTGGTAGCCCATAACAACCAAGGACAATTTCAATCAACTGGCCCTCCTCCAGGTCATTGTGGCCCCCACGACACTGCCTGGCCCCCTTCGTTCTGCACAATGGAGATGACTGTGTGACAGCAGACTTGAGGTCGCCAATCTTGATTGGGAAGCCATAGTTCATCGCCACTTGCAGTGCAATCTGCAAAGAGGATGTTGCCACCGTTGGTGCAAACCTCTCCAGCTCCAGGATGTCTGGGTCCTTGTCTCCTCTCAAGCACCACCTCGACTTCCTTGTCGGCTCCTCGCCCACCTTCTCCGATGGCTTGCGTCTTCGGACCATTCGACTCGGGATGACCCGATTCTCCTCTCCTCTCTTGCGAAGATCCTCCATCACCTTGCGGGACTCCTCAGGGCTCAACACCTTCACTGCACCGCTCTTCAAGATCTTCTGCCACTCGTTCCTGTCCTCCTGATCCCAAGCCTCTCTCTCTTCCGGAGGAATCTCGTGGTCGTAGAGCTCGCCTTCTCCTCTCCTCTTCACATGTGTTGCCCAGGACTGATTGACCTCAATGAGGCTGACGTCCACCTTGAACTCTGTGACACCCTTCCACCAGTTCCTCAAAGGCCTCCTCTCCTCCAGCCAGCTCCATTCGTCCTCGAACATCCTTTGCTTGCCATCGTCAAACTTGGCCATAGTTCTCCTCTCCTTCTTGAGCGCTCTGAGTGGAACTGGGCATCCTGTGTCCTCTGTGGGTCGGAACTTGTTCTTCCTGCTCCTCACGTGGTTCCTTTGGACAACTCCTCTAATTGCGTCATAGACCCAGTAATCTCGATCCTCCTCATTGGACTTAGTTGGCATGGGTCGCTCCTCCTCCTCATCTTCCGGCCCCATGAAAAACACCTCGTTGAAGTAGGGGGCGTCCTCGTGAGTCCTCCACCCAGTTTGCAACTGCCGCCGCACAGGACCAAAAGGGACACCATCGAGCGCTTCATTCCTGACCACTGACTCCACCGCTCTCCGTTCCAACTCCATCTCACCCTCCGGTTCTGATCGGGAGCTCGGCTCACTGTCCTCCATCTCAAGGTGAGGGATCGGAACATCCTGTGGCCTGATCTCTTCTCCTCGGGGCTGCTCCTCAGGGGCTGCTGACCCGGCCGGAGCCTCTTCCGCTCTAGCCGGGATCTCCTCATTGGGGGCTTGGGCCTCCTCCTCATCTCCTGCTCTTCTTCTTGGAAGACCTCGAAGCAGTCCTTCTCGCTCAACCTCATCTGACTCCTCGGCTGGGGCTTCCTCCACCTGTGCACCATCCTCCGGGTCCTCCTGGGCCATGTCACCGGTCACGTCCCGATAACCAGGTCGATGTGGGTTCCGCTTCAGCCTCTCTCTCATCTCCTCAAAAGATTCAGCAACCACCTCCGCACCAAGCCGCTCTTCATGGGTTGCCGGCCTGGTCTGCTCTGCGGCTACCCTCCATAGTTCTCCCAGCATGTTGACCCAAATGATGGAGCCCTCCACCGCCAGGACCGATCCGGGGCCTGTCCACACTGCCTTCCGAGTGATCCGGCCACCACCGCCCGTCACCGTCTTCCTCAGCCGCATGATCCGGTAAACATAGGCCAAGTCACCGGGCTTGAAGTTGATCTTGATCCTCGGCCTTGCTCGCAGTGCTTCGCGAGCCGCACTTGCCGAGTTTTCCTTCACGAAGGCCTCCTGCGCCACCTCTCTCATCTTCAGCAAGCGATTGAACTCGTCGGTGCTGGCCTGGCTTTGCAGGGCAGGATCCACCGCCTCGTCCGACAGGATAGAAGAAGGAACCCTGGGCCACTGTCCAATCTGCCTCTGCAAGGGACTAAATCCTGACCGATTGGAAAATCGGTTCTTGGCCGCCTCCACCTCATACATCAGCAGCAACAGCTCCTCATGGCTAGATGGCGTGTAACTCGCTCGGGCTCTCTCCAACATGTTCTTGAATAGCCCACCATATCGTTCCGCGCGACCAGCCTGCCATGGTGCTTTGCTCGCCACCGTGAAGAACACCGCTCCAGCCTCTGCACACATCTGCGAGAACTCTGCCTGGAACTCCTTCCCCTCATCTGCCTCTACAAACTCCGGCAATCCAAACACTGCGCCGCGTCCTCCAAAATGCCGCCCAAACATGCTTCGCTTCCTTCCCCGGAAGCACCTCCACCATTTGATAATTCGTTCCCATGTCCACCATGTTGAGCAGGATGAGCGGCTCCCTGTGGTCGTGTTCCGAAGCTTTGGGAATGAAGAACAGGTCGATGCCCACCGCCACTCCAGGACGATAATTCCTGGGAACCACCGCTGGTCTTGGAGCTTTAGCTTGAGGATGGGCCTCGCATTCTGGACAGCGAAACTCTGACCTGCACCACTGGATGATCTCTTCCCGCACCCGACCAGCCACCATCATTCGCAGCAGGCTCATCTTGTTGGGATGTCCCAAGTTCTGGTGCATCTTCATGACCTTCCGCTTCTCCTCCTCCGTGACTCTCGCTCGTCCTCTTGGATTCTCGATCCTCTCCTGCCCTCCTCTTCCATGTCGAGCTCCTCCTCTGCGAAGACCTCTGCGAAGACCTTGTTCTGGGGCTCCTCAAAGATGACCTCCTCCTTGTTGAAGTAGTCATTGGCAAACCTCACCACCTTGCGGTTCTTGATGTAGTTGTGGAGCCCAAGGACAATTGCCTCACACAGCGCTTCCGGGTAGACCTGGGCACGTTTGGCAATTCCTCCATCCAGAGCGATGTGGGGATGGTTGCCTGAGCATCGTCGTCCTAGCTGCACAGCGAGCTCTCACTGTTGACCAACCACTTCGTTGGCTTTTGGTTCAAACCTTCTCCTGTAACATTCATGCCGTAGGCGCACATGTCGCTCGTCACAGAGATGACTCCTTCCAAGTTCTCCAGCTCCCGGATGTCCTGCTCCTCCCATGTCTTAGCGCCCTTTGGCTGTTCAAATCCAAACAACGTGTGGAAACAAAGGCTCCTTCCCAACGGTACAAATCTGGGGAATCAGCCGTAGCCTTTTGCTTCTTGCTAAACAAGCGCACGGCATTTTGCATCGCAAAAAACATCCAAGCAAAAGCGTGTGGTGTTGGACAACTACACCTACATGAGTCCAATCAAACCCCGGCACGAAATCGACACAGGGGTCCAAATATATACAGTATGTATTTATATAATAGAACAGGGGGGTGGGGTTCCCTAAAGCAACAATGGGACTTCAAGCGAAAGGTGTAATTATGTTGCCTCTTAGATATTCCCCAAATGCTGAAGGTTTCATCTGGGCGGCCGCAACTGGACAACTTTGAACTAACTTCCAATCAACTGGACGTGTATTTTCCACACACGAGGTTTCGCCAACATTTGTTGTTTTTCATCACGGTCATTGGAGAATTAGAGTTCGCCCCCTGGGTTTTGTGGTGACGTTTTTTCAGGCTCATCCCCCAGTTCGTCCTCCCCAAGCCCCGAAGCGACCAGAGACTACCAGGGTGTGTCTTCTTTTAGGAATCCCCAAAAGGGAGGGGTTTCCTTTGGTTTCCCTTCAAGCCCCAAAACAGGGTCCCCCAGACCTCAAAGCTTCCAGCTGTTGTGGAACAAACCGCGGTTTCCCTGCTGGCTCCAAGATGGTTTTCCAAGGGGATTTACAGCCATCAACAGCAGGGTTGGGCAAAAATGTGTTCAAACAAAACAACCATGCCCCCCTTTGAAGGAAACCCCTTTGCCGACGAGTTCAAAGTTTGTTTCTAGGCTTTGACTCAAATGAATACACCTACAAACAAACAGTTTAACGCTTGCCGACTCGACCAGGATCAACATGTTCAACTCATGTTCAAGCCTTGGGCCTTCAAAGCAACATCTGTCTTTTTGTTTTGAGCACCAGAAGGACACGTACAAGCCGCTGAACAGTTCCCAACGGGTTTTCGACAGGCAAACGACTTCGCCTTCCGAGCCCAGCCAGCAAGGCTGCACAGCGACCTGATATCGAAGAGCTCACAGGCGAAACGAACTCAGAGAGTCTGCGAATGCAACAGTTTCACTGGCCCCATTTAAGTGACAGCCTCAAATCTATTTTGCAGAATTGTACAGTATAGTTGAAAGAGAAACATGCACCCGTGAACGCAATTTTGAGAACCCCTCGAAACGTTGACATGAAACTAGGTCCCTTGAACAGTTTCATTTGGACACGCCCATATGGGTTGCCTTCATGAGACAGGCTCAGACTCAGGCTGCGACAAGGCTGCACAGCAGCAGGAAAAAAGGCCAGCGCCTGGCCCGGCGAACACGAACAAAGCGAGATACATCGGATATACGTAATGGGTCTTGATAGGCATTACTGGCCCTTTTCAACGGCTGAAGACTCCATCGAACGACTGTGTCGCAAAAGGCTGCGTCACCGGATTGACATTGAATGTGAACAATTCCGTCTCGACACATTTTTCCATGAAACATGTGAAACTCTACACGAGCCCGCGCGCCTGCGGCCAAGCCGCAAACGAAAATTGGCGAAAACCTGCGCCAGGCAAAAACCATGCGCCCGAATCGCCAAACAACCTCGACCCCACGTCTGCAAATCCGGGCGCCCCTCTTCCCGGTGACTGCGAAGCTGTTGAAACAAAAAAACAACCTGTGCTGCCCGTACTGTAAACAAACCACTTCGTGGCAACTGCACAAACCATCGAGATCATAATTGATTCAACGAAACATGAAATGGCTAAAATAGATGCCTGCCCAAGAACATGCATTGGGTTTGGGGTATTTTTGTAAGACCAAAATTTGTTTCCACTCCGAAACGGCTGCGAGTGCAAATGACATGTTGCTCTTGCCATGTCTAGCTGTGGTGCGTTCCAGCCCTGACTAAGAAGGAACAAGTGACTTGAGCAGGCATTTGGCACAACCCAGCGCCCATCCTTCCTTCGTTTGTCTTGCCATGGCTGAACCTGAACGTGCTGAGACTGATCCACCTAACCCTGATGCCTTCATTTCAGTGCTGATGACATCAAAGAAACAGGTTCTGTGCAAAACACCTCCTCCAATCTGGCTCAGGCACCAATTCTCCTTCTCAAAGCAAAACAGCTCAAGACTCGCGATAAACATGAGGACTTTATAGCTACCTTGGCCTCAACAGGCCACAGGCATTGAGTTAATGGAATCCTGCAACTCGTCAACTCTTGCAGTCTCAGGAAGCTCGCAACAACTTCACTGCGCAGTATATAACTATATTACATAACAACATCATGCATTTCATAACCTCAAGCCTCACAACACAACACGCCAGCAAATCCCACCCTTATTCAGCCATAAACCAACTCTAATCCCCCAGTCCAAGCCAAATTTAGCCACCTCAATTCAAGCCTGCAAGATAACACGCACACATACACCAACTCAAACACCACAATCAAATAACGAATCAACCACATTTACCATCGAGCCTTGAAACCACCAACTATCTAATAACACTGGTTCCACTGCTATCATAATGTTTATCAACAACAACATAATTCATATATTCCCCACACATGGTGTCCACCTATATATTAATATATATATATACACCCAAAATATATAATATTAAAACGCTGATATACTATACGCAAGCTCTGTTCAACAAAATCTTTGCTGGCTACAGTATTTCGCATCACACATATACGTGTATGTGCGCACTAAGTAGTTGAGATAAACCATGATAAACCACAATGTGTCGTCCATTTTGCTGACTGGCATGCTTGGGAAAAGCATTGCATCAGCAGTTGTGAAACGGTATTCGAATTTCTGTTGACACATCAGCCCCTACAGAAACAGCCTACTTTGCACGCACTTGAAACACACACTTTCTGTCTTGACTGGAAGGACCCAGGATTTGCATTATGCTTAAGAAGTTTGATAATTGAACAAGTACCACTTCTGACACAGCACCCACTTCTCTCACAAGTGGCCGGAGCCTCGGCAAGCGCGAACACGAATCCAGCACAAGAAATGCAAGAAGCAAGAGTCAAGGGGGGCACCACTCAAACACGGGATAACAAGGCGCTTTTGTCAGGACCCAGGACACTGCAAGTCTCCTCTTTGTTGTCTGCTTCCGGCTGAGTGGGTTCTAGGGTGCGACACACATGTTTGTCCTTGGATGCAGGCTGGAACCCGCTCCTTAGAACCCGTTTGGTGTCACCCAACTAAGTCTTCCTACGAGAAGCTCGGCATGGCCTTGCTCTCGGCTCGCAAGAGTGCCGCAAACGCTGAATGCCGGGACTTGTGGCAATCACATGCGGTGTATCAGAATTGGGCGCCCAAAAACGGATGGCTTCTCGGCTTCTCTTTACCAACCCAAGATCCAAAAAGGGTACCCTCCAAAGACACAGACCCGTGCAACCAGTTTCACAAATCCAAGACACGATTTCTTTGAAACCTCAGGCACCCAAGGCACTTAAGGACCCGGTTGCATGTGCGCGCGTGGATCTGGTTTGCATGGCTGCATTGCCCGAAAGGGCCCAATCCCAATTTCCCGCCCTTGTGGTTTGGTCATTGCTTTTTGACTGGGCTGTTCACGGAGGGTTGGCCAATATCCATAATCCCTACTCGAAACCACAAAGCGGGCCGAATCCTTTCGTAAGCCAAGCGTTTGAACATCGAGCGCCGACTGCTTCAGTCGCCCTTGGCACCCCGGCGCTCGAGATCCCTCCGAAACGCGGAGGTTGCCTGGAGAGACTCATTGCCTTTGGGTTTGTCTCAAGGAACCTTCCCTCCTGCCCTACTCAGAACCAAGCCAATCTGGGAGGTCGTTTTCGGCCGTTCTGATCCCGGGCCTGCTGGTGGCCCTGGTACGCTGGGCCCTCGCCCCGATGCATCCTCGGGATGCCCCGGAAGTGCGGAGCGGACGAAACCTAAAAAAACAAACTTGCATTGGGTTGAATCCAAGCCCAATATTGTGATTGACAAACCACAATCAGAAAGAAACACCAAGTAAGTCTTCACCATTGAGCATGTGAATATAAAAGACACATACAAAGTCAAACCAGACCTATGTCTCCAAACGGATTTCGAGTCAGCTGTCTTCAAACATAGAACACTTTGACACACATTTTCTTTCCGTTTACCACCAGCAAGACAAATGCAGCACGCATGGCTGCCTCATGGCTGCCCCATGCACGCATTTCAACACTTGAACGTAAAACCAAGGAAGCCGATCACTGCGTCCCTGCAGCTTTTGACACATGGCTCTCCTTAACGTTTAACGGAAGGCATCAACAAACAGCTATGGCGGGAAGTTGCCTTTCGAGAATTTGATCCATTCTGTTGGTGTCCCTGCTTTGTCGCCGTGTGTCCGAAGCCCAAACAACAATTGGCTTCAGTGCCCCCCCTCACCCCCCCCTGTTTCTTGTTTTTGTGTTGCTTGACAACAGAGATCCACTCATGTGCAACTGCGACCGACGCCATTTGGCCCAAGGCCTGGTGTGTGTTAGCGTAAGTAAGAGCTTACGCTCGAGAGCAAAACAACTCAGGCCCTGCTGATTGTGACCTTGGTATTTACAACATTATCCTATTGACCAAACCGGTCCACCTCTTCCTGTACATCCTTATCAGGGTAGCTTCCAGGGACTTATATTTGGACTATTTGCCTGGCCCTACCGGGCCTGCAGTATTCCAAGCCACAAACGTGGTAGCGGAGCGGGTTCTCCGAAAATAGGATGTCAAGTGAGGAAGATTTTTACGGATCAGAACCACCCATGGCGGCATTCTTAGGAAGCCGTCATAACGGCGTGAGTTCTCACGAGGAGTCCATCAACCTGTCGATGAACGCAAAATTGCCTCCATCGTACGACGGCCGTGTTAGTTGGTTCAGATATGAGGATCTGGTGAGAGATTGGTGCACATTCACGGTGATAGAACCGCATCGCCGTGGACCCTTATTGAAAAACCGCCTTACAGATGACGCGTTACCATATCGTGAGTTGATGAGCAATGAACGACTCATTGACCCAGATACAGGAGTTGACTATTTCCTCAATTTCCTGCGCGGTTACTTTCTCAAGGGATCCCAGAACGTGTTCCTATTCAGATTCCTCAGCTTTTTCAACCACAGAAGAGGATCCGGTGAGTTCATAAACTTCATCAGCAAGTTTGAGATTCTTCTCAGAAGACTGAAAGCTTCCTGGGAAGATACAGCTCCAGAATTCACCATCACTCACCCTGAGTATATCCAGGCGATCAACAACGCCAATCAGGAGTTGCGTGAAGCACATGACCGACGAGTCAACGAAATTGTAGCAATCATGAGGGGTCTGCCGCAAGGAGCCGCAGCACCCATAGTGCCCGATCCAGATCACCCCGATGCCGGACTTCAAGCAAATTTCGATAGATTCGCACGAGGTAAGAGAGCTGAGCATACTCAGTCATTTCCATTGACTGACAATATGATCACACTTTTCTTTATTATCCAGAGCGAACTGTCTGAGGGACAACGTGAAAGATTAGTCTCTTCACTGAGCCTCAGAAACATACAGCTTCCGCAGTATACGTATGAGATTGTGAAAACACAATATTACGACCTTTTCATCACCACCAGAACAAACCTTCAGGATCCGAACATCCGTCCGTCAGGAGGAAGCAGAGGAGCGCCACCAGGCCCGTGACGTCCTACAAAAAAGCGGAGAGACGTGTTAGCAAGGTGTCTGGATGATTTATAATAATTCCAAACCCTGATTTAAGGAACCCTGGGAATACTACCCTTTACCTGGTGAGCTCGTTTTACCCCCGGGTTAGAGCTCGTCTTAAGATCTATGCAGATGTGTGTGTGTGTGTGCAGTAGGGTTGGGCCAACAACCTGTTTAAACTGTTTAAACCAGGGTTCCACTGTTGGATTCCCTTAAACCCAGGGGTTTCCCTTTTGGGTAAATGGGGAAACCCCTTGGTTTAAGTCAATCCCAAGCTAAGCCAAACAAGACCAAAAGTGCAGCCCTGGTTTAAACACCCCCACGTTCATGCACAAACGATCGTGTTGTGGTTGTCCTTTACGGGAAGCCATAGGATGTTTAAACATGTTTTGCCCGACCCTGGTGTGCAGCATATGGGGTTGTTGTTGTTTTTGTTTTTTTAACGGACCCCCCCAAAAAAAACAAAACAATAAACAACAGAATTGCGAACGAGTATATAATCCCTCGAACTGGACGTAATTTCTCTCTCTCCGCAGTCAAACCCACGCGCCCAATGGCTTTTCCGGTTCAGCTACGCAGTTCCTGTTTATAGGGGTGGTCTTGAGCCAAAAGGATTTACGGGTAGTCGCATAATGTGGTTGTAATTATGGGCCGTTTTAGGCCCGGAACCCTGGATCTGTTGACACCCCCCCACGAGGCCCTTTTGGGTCCCCGAAGAGGGCTCGAGAAATTTGAACAGACCAGAAAGATTCCTATCCCGTTTCCCAGGCTCGACCTCTTCCCTTAATGTTACGAAATCAGTAGCTTACTTCTTACCCGTAGCCATATCCGCAGCCATCGGCTCTTTTTGGCTTCGGCCTAATTGTTGGTGCCCTACCTACGCCTGTACAGGTCCTATGAGACGTCAACGCTCGGCACTTCGACTTCCTACTCTTAAATGGGGACAACGCATTGGCACATGGCTTGTCCGGTTACATTGTAACCTCGGCCGACCATTTATCGAGTCGCCAGCCTTCAGTGCCCTAGACTAACATGAACGCCTTGCAAGGCCCGCCGGAAACCGGCATACCTGAACGTGAATGACATGGGTCGGCACTCAATTCAAAGGCCCTTGTTTCATTCAAATTTTGAACAAACTGTGATAGCACTCAACGTCATGATGCAACAAGCCCTGGTTGCGACGGAGCACTTCGTTTGTTCTGCTCACAGCCTGATACCAAAAATGCTATGAGACCAATGCAGCTTCGTGCATTCTTGAATGAAACTTGAAGAAATGCCGAGTCACCGGATTCCGGATCGTCGGTCTTCTGAAATGTGGAAATCAAGTGCCTCAGTGCTGGACGTCGCTGAAAAGAATGACTCAGATTCGTATAATGGCACACTCCATCAGGTGAAAATCACTTGAATCGGTGTTATCTACAAGGTAAAAGACTTCCAGCATATCCAGAGAATCGCAAGCACTGATTGCATCACAAAAGAAAATGAATTTTGGAATATGAAATTGGCATGGGCATACGATGGCCGTCAGGGGAAACCCCATCAGGCAGTCCAGTATTCATGAAAGAAATAGGGCGCAAATGCCATTAGGGGAAACCCCATCTGGCTGCCCAGAATATCGGACATCACGAAAGGTAGGAGCATTTTATAAGCATATGAACATTACATGTCCGTCAGGGGAAACCCCATCGGGATAGCGAACATATACTCATGGCGGATCACGAACATCACGATCCCTCCTGCTCCAGGGCGCTGATGGTTGCCAACGATTGCCGCTACCAGGTTGAGCGTCTCGAACATCCACACGTCTGTGGCCTCGATCTTGATGCCATGGTGGAGCTGGGCGTTGGTCACTCCCAGAAGCCCTCTCCTCCTCCTGGTTGTCGCGGCTGTCATATTGCGTGTCCCGGCGCCTCCACCTTTCGGACTCCCCAGTAGAGCCAGCTTGAGCGCGAAGCTCAGCATCACGTTCCCCAGGCGCATAAGCTCTGGGTGCAGCTCTCGGGTACTGCTGTCCTTGATGATGCCCACGATCATCGGCGTGTCCTCGGCCCCTCTCCTGAGGCATAGCCTTCGGTTTGGGCTTCGGATTCTGCTTCGGCTCGACCTTAGCCTTGGCCTTTGCTTTCGCTTTAGCCTTGGGCGGAGTAGGTTCGGCCGCATGAGCAGTACTCGCCAATGCCATCTGTCCGACTGCATCGTCCTGCGCCACAGCAATCTTCCCAATACCAATACCTCCTCTGCCCGCGGCCATCTTCTCCATGAAAGATTCCAACCTTTCGCGCATGGACTTGAGCATAAATAGGTTATGGTAGTACATGATTACCATTGCAGACATTATGCACTTGTCGTTCAAGAAGTTTCCCAGTGACTCGAACGGAAATCGGAGGAATTGATTGTCACTCGGCCTGTTGATGTCGGTGTAGGAGAAATATTCCACACCAGTGATTGCGCCAATTGCTCGGCCGGCCAATGAATTCAAATCCTTCACCCGACTCTCCTTCGCACCCGCATCCAAATTCTTGTTGTTGTGTTCCTTTGCAGCCTCATTGACAATCGGTGGCTTCCCTTTACCAACAGAAAGATAGCAATAATGACGACAAGTCAGATCATGCATTCAGCACATGGAAGAAAGGGTTTGGTGAAAAAAGACGAAAAAGGGATGCAACAGAGAACGGTAGAGAACACGAGTATGACATCGTATTTTTGCCCGCTTACACGCCAAGCAACAGATCCCCCTAAGCAAAGCAAAGTTGGGTTAAACCGCGGGCGTGATGTAGCGATGTAGGATCTGAGCCTCCTGGCGGGCAGGCACGGGTGGCAATGGCGGCAAAGCTGGTCCAGCCTCGGCCAAGCAAACGAAGCAAAGTTTTTCAAATGGACCAAGAGTGACCAAGAGAAACATCGGAAACGTGTAGTGCATCGGTTTGGTGAAAAAGGCGAAAAAGGGATGCGATAGAGAACGGTAGAGAACGCGAGTATGACATCGTATTTTTGCCCGCTTACACGCCAAGCAACAGATCCCCCTGAGCAAAACAAATTCGGGTTAAACCACGGACGTGATGTAGGATCTGAGCCTCCTGGCGGGCAGGCACTGGTGGCAATGGCGGCAAAGCTGGTCCAGCCTCGGCCAGGCAAACGAAGCAAACAACCTCCTGTGTTTTTCAATTGGACCAAGAGTGACCCAGAGAAACATCGGAAACATGTAGTGCATCGGTGCATGTAGCACATGTAGAACCCGCGGAACCCATCCGTCAAAGCGAGTCAAAGACCGGTCGACTCCCCCGCTTTGTGAAGAACTAGGTCGCTGGCGGTGTCCGGCAACGCCGGGCCGGGCAGCCCTATTTGGCCGATAGGGGCCAAAAGTACTCTGCGGGGCCGGGCGGGCCTACGACCGCTACGACATTGAAGCATTTTTATTGATTTTGCTAACTGGCAATTTTGGGTAGTTTGGGATTTGTCGGTGGGGAAATGTAGGATCTACATTACCCCCCCCCCTCCTACATTAGTTAGGGGTCCCTCGGTTGTACATGATGTCCAACCTCTCATGAGTTCTGAAGCTTTCCAGGAAGACCGCTATAAGCTGCCTCCCTTTCGTCAGCTTTCCGTCCCTCATGTTCTTCGCATATAATTGGTTGGCCTCGGTCGATACATCCCTCCCCTGGTCTCCCGCATTGCGGATCATTTTTTCCATGGCTGCCACTAGCTTCTGGTCGATCCCGACGAACCTGGATCCTTCACTGTCCGCTAGATCATGACATTCCGATCGAACGCTTTCTTGATCCAAGTTCCCCATGCTTCGTCATCCGGGTAACCACAGGCCGCCAAAATTCCGTTGATCAGCTTGCCCTTCCATACCTCCAAGTTGTTAATAGTGGGCCAAGGAGGAATCGTCACATTTTCAGCTTCCCTTCTACTGATCTTGGGTTTGTCCTCCTCGGCGGTCTTGGTGGGCGTCGTTGGGGCCGGAGCACTACCGCTACCTCCTCCCGAACCGGATGGTCCAGTCGGAGTAGAGCCTGACGCATTAGGTGGGTCGGGGAATCCCCTTCGCCCAGCGTCACCATCATCATCATCGTCCTCGTCATCGTTCCCTTGCTGCTCTCGTTCTTCATACTCATCTCTGTACTTGTTTCTTTCTTCTCTATATCTCTCTTTCTCATTCAAGGCGTCCTGAAGATCTCCTTCGGCCTTCCGCAGTTTCCTATCTAAGTCCTCGACGTGAGCCTTAGTGCGAGCATGAGCGTCTCTCATTGCGTCCATCTTATCATATTGATCTCTGATAGTGGCATCCTTTGACGCTTCTCGCTGGAATGCCTGGTTCACTTGTTCCCTGCAGTTGGCCTCGATGGATCCAGCGTGAGCCCTCATAACTCCCATCTCAGATTTAAGAGCAGCAGCGGCTCCTTTCTCCTGGATGTAAGTCATCTCGGCATTAATCATCCCCTGGTTCTTCATCTTCAGTTCCTGAGAAAAGGTGGCCTCCTCTTTCCTGTATGAGTTCATCGCGATTTCCGATCTTCTACACTCCTCTCTAACATGGCGGTTGTCATTGCTTAATTGGTTCATCCGATCTCTGGTACCGGCCTCATTGACCATGTACTCATTCTTCAGAGTGTTACCGTAAGCTTCCGCCTCCCGTTTGATGGATTGTATTACCTCGGAATTGACTCCTCCCTGTTGTTGCGCCGCATTCAGTTCCGACCTCAGGAGTTGAACCTGGCTCCCGAGAGATTCCTTTACTGCTCCGTGCTCGGCCTCGGCCCTCGACATGGCTTCCTTCCATCCGGACACCCGTTCGGTCATGGACTGATTGGCCATCTGCAATTCCTCTCGTACTTGGTCGAGCTCGATGCCGGCGGAGTATTCTTCCATCTGTATCTTCTTCCGGCTGGCAATTAACTGGGAGTGTTCCTCGCGTGCCATCTCTTCTCTTTCCTTGAATGCTCCAATCTCCTTCATTGCAGCAAGCTCGTCATATTTATACTTCTCGGACATCTTCGTCAATCTTTGGCTCAGATCGATTGATCGGGCTACGTTCTCGTCATTCTTCGATTCTAACTCTTTGATTCTCAACGAGCTCCCAAGGTCCTCCTTATCGTGTTCCTGCAATTTTATTTCCATTAGCTCACAGCGGACCTCTAGCTCTTGAATTTTCCTTTCAGATTCTCTTTCCTGAGAATTGTATTCATCTTTAATCTCTAGCAACTGGACTTTGGCAGCATCTTCGATTTGCTTCTTGTAGTCCTGTTGCCTTCTTGACGTAGAGTCAGGGGTTGTCACCGCCTCATTGTCTCGTGGTGTTCTACTGCTCTTCCTCCTGGCTGTATCCGTCTCCCTCGTCAGCTCGCCCGTTCTGGATGCTTCTCACCATGCTGTAAGAGATAACGGTTTGGCCACTCCCTGGAGCCAACTCGCCAGGTGACGAGCTGGCCTCAGGCGCTGGAGCGGCAATAGATCCACCTGATCCAAACTCAGCAGTTCCTCCTGATCCATCTTCTCCCGAAGACATTTCTTGTATTCTGGTCGACCCCGGAACCCGGGTTAGTCAGACCTTTGTTCGGGTGCTATCACCGGAATCCGGATCAAGCCCCTAGCCGCTCCGGAATCCGGCTACGGCTGATAACCTGCGAACGAGTATATAATCCCTCGAACTCCGCAGTGAAACCCACGCGCCCAATGGCTTTTCCGGTTCAGCTACGCAGTTCCTGTTTATAGGGGTGGTCTTGAGCCAAAAGGATTTACGGGTAGTCGCATAATGTGGTTGTAATTATGGGCCGTTTTAGGCCCGGAACCCTGGATCTGTTGACAAATATAGTTGATGTCCATTGGTTTCCCTTTCACACCCACCCCAAAATGGGTTTCTTAAGCAAACAAAACTATATGTATATGTATACGTAAGCCATGGACGTATGGTCAATGTAATTATGTAATCCGCCGACCCCTTTGCAAAAGCCAAGTTAGTCTCTGCAAAGGGGCGAGGCGTGTTCTAAGTGGTGGTTAGGGGGAGTCTGAGGGGGGGAGGGGGGGTCCCGCGGCAGATTTTTGACACGCCTAACCTCTAACCCTAACCTCTAACCCTAACCTCTAACCCTAACCTCTAACCCTAACCTCTAACCCTAACCTCTAACCCTAACCTCTAACCCTAACCTCTAACCCTAACCTCTAACCCTAACCTATAACCCTAACCTCTAACCCTAACCTCTAACCCTAACCTCTAACCCTAACCTCTAACCCTAACCTCTAACCCTAACCTCTAACCCTAACCTCTAACCCTAACCTCTAACCCTAACCTCTAACCCTAACCTCTAACCCTAACCTCTAACCCTAACCTCTAACCCTAACCTCTAACCCTAACCTCTAACCCTAACCCTAACCTCTAACCCTAACCTCTAACCCTAACCTCTAACCCTAACCTCTAACCCTAACCTCTAACCCTAACCTCTAACCCTAACCTCTAACCCTAACCACCTCTAACCCTAACCTTAACCCTAACCTCTAACCCTAACCTAACTAACCTCTAACCTCTAACCCTAACCTCTAACCCTAACCTCTAACCCTAACCTCTAACCCTGACCTCTAACCCTAACCTCTAACCCTAACCTCTAACCCTAACCTCTAACCCTAACCTCTAACCCTAACCTCTAACCCTAACCTCTAACCCTAACCTCTAACCCTAACCTCTAACCCTAACCTCTAACCCTAACCTCTAACCTCTAACCTCTACGGGAAGATGACGGAAGACTACGGGAAGATGACGGAAGACTACGGGAAGATGACGGAAGACTACGGGAAGCTGACGGAAGACTACGGGAAGATGACGGAAGACTACAGGAAGCTGACGGGAAGATGACGCAAGACTGCGGGAAGAGGACGGAAGGCTACGGGAAGAGGACGGAAGACTACGGGAAGATGACGGAAGACTACGGGAAGATGACGGAAGACTACGGGAAGATGACGGAAGACTACGGGAAGATGACGGAAGACTATGGGAAGATGACGGAAGACTACGGGAAGATGACGGAAGACTACGGGAAGATGACGGAAGACTACGGGAAGATGACGGAAGACTATGGGAAGATGACGGAAGACTACGGGAAGATGACGGAAGACTACGGGAAGATGACGGAAGACTACGGGAAGATGACGGAAGACTACGGGAAGATGACGGAAGACTACGGGAAGATGACGGAAGAATTACGGAAGACTACGGGAAGATGACGGGAAGATACGTCTAACCCAACTCTAACCTCTAACCCTAACATCTAACCCTAACCTCTAACCCTAACCTCTATCCCTAACCTCTAACCCTAACCTCTAACCCTAACCTCTAACCCTAACCTCTAACCCTAACCTCTAACCCTAACCTCTAACCCTAACCTCTAACCCTAACCTCTAACCCTAACCCTAACCTAACCTTAACCTCTAACCTCTAACCCTAACCTCTAACCTCTACGGGAAGATGACGGAAGACTACGGGAAGATGACGGAAGACTACGGGAAGATGACGGAAGACTCGTAACAGTCGGTTTTAGCTATAGGGGTGAAGCCGGCTGAAGTCACCAAAGGGGTTGATTTTAGAAAAAAACAGGTCAGCGACAAGCCGCTTAAAAAAACACACAAAAAACAATTTCCTCGAGGAGGCCACAAGGCCCCCCTCTCCCCGCCATAGGCCCACCCAAATGCGCAAAATGCACAAGGGCTCCGAAACAGATATTATTGACAGGTTTACCCTCTTGTTGAGCAACGCTTGCTCCGGGAAATGACAGTTTCAAGGTTAGTTACAGCAAAGAAATGCCCGACAGGACCTCTTTGTCCCAAAGAACAACATCTCTTGACGGACTCGCCCTCTGGTCAAGCCCCTGTGTTGAAAGTTCTTGCCGCCACACAAATGACCTACATGGCCGATTAGCTTCATAATGACTGCTACTGTTGGCAAGTTTGCCATGGTTTGCGCTCTTGTTGAAGAACATTTGCCCCAGGAAACAAACATAACATGATTCTAACAGAGGGGGGGCCAGTCCTGGTTTCAGGAGTTGAGTCCTGAACGCGGGCGGGCGGGCACTAGCGCAATATCTAGACAAGACGCTGAACATTTGTGAACAACATTCGGTTCTCTAGATGGTCTTGTGGACGTAGCGCGGATTCTTGTGTGGCGGCGATTGGAGCAGGTGGTAGGCGGGTTAAAGTTTTGTGTTCCCGGGTCTTCCAAATCAGATAAATTTCGTGTAAAGTTCGGACTTCGCAACTCGTCTGAGACTCTCAGCGGCAATTCTGGGGTACTGAAATTCCTGGCTTTAGAAGCTAATGCTGATTAGGGGCACATGCAGGTGATGGACGAAGCCCTGCGCCTGTTGGGATGGATGAAGCCCTATGACCAGAATAAGCCACCTACCACCTGGCGCCAAGGTTTTGTCCACCCGCAGCTATTGTTTCCCATACGCTCAGCCTGTGATGTCGGGTTCTGCGGTCATAGCTCTCGAGGGATGATTTAAATGATGATTTTGATTTATGTATGCGCAGGCTTGAAGACGCAGGACGCGCGATTTGATGACCAACCGCGCGCTCGCTTTCTAAACGTTGCTGTATGGAGAAAAATGAAAAGCATCCGCCGATTCTGACAGTGGATGTGGAATTTGAAAATTCTACGCCTAGGACGAAGCATGACAGACTCAAGAAGACAATTTTTGATGTGTTGAGCGCAGGATATTACATCTGTTGTTTGGCCTTTGTTTACACTCATGTTTATATTTTCTTGACCCGCCGTTTCAAACCCAAAGGAACCCATTCGGACCCACTCAGACCCACTCAGACTTTTTTAAAACAGAACATGCACTCCCAAAACTCAGCGCAAAACGCCCGCAAAAGCCCGCAAACTGCCGCAAAGCCCCTTTTAATCAAAGGCGCCAAACTGTTGGGAGACCGCGGCTAGTTGCAGGCTTGAAGGTTTGATTGAAGGGGGTGTGCGTTGGCTTCATTGCGCGAGACTACGCTGGCTCTGGCAGAACATGCTCAAATGACGCTGCGGATACTGATAATTCCTCAGGCGCCGTGCAACGCAACATATGTCATCCGTCAGGACCTTTCTCAACATTATCGTTCGAGGCTGCCCGTTGTCCTGCTGGTCGACTGTCGCCCACCACCACCTCCGTGTCCCCCAACGCATCGGGCGAGCCTGCATTTGACAGTGTCAATTCTCCAGCGTTCTTTCCTAATCCTGCCGCGTGGCCTTTGGTTGCAGCCCTACGCTGCTGCCTTTGGCTTTTCACTTTTTGATTCTTCCGTTTCTCTCCGTTCAAGCCGATGGCGACCGCCATGTCGTTGCTTGAGGCTTCGCATTTTCGTTCTTCCGTCTCGTCGTTTGCGCTTCCCCTTGGTAGCCACCACCCTGCGCTACAGCTTCGGCCACGCCACCTCCCTGCCATTCGACAGCCTCTTTGCGACCTTTGGCCACAGCCCCGCTGCGGCTCTTTGCTTCGCCCTGGCCTCCCTTGCGTTCCCTTCCATCCTTTGCTCTTGCTGACTCTGGTTGCCGCCCTGCGCGGTCGCCGTTCGCTAGCGTCACAGCCATCTGCCCTCAACGGACACCAGTCGATTCGTGGACGGCTACCGGCTACCCTGCATAGTCGTCCGCCTTTTGGCCGCTGTCATCCGTGCACTCCCAAGCCCTCATTTCATCGGGCTTCTCGGCCCTCTTTTGTTCACACGCGTTCTACCTTGCGGCTTTGGTTACAGCCCTTCGCTGGCGCTCTTTGCCGTGGCATTTAGTCGTCTCGCGCTGAGGCTCATAGTCACTCGCCTGTCTTCTCTTTGTCTCTCCTTGGCCCTCTCACTGCCTCTAGTTGCCGCCCTGCGTTGCCAGTGGCTAGTGATGGTTCGCTCCCTGTTATTCTAGGTCTCTGCGTCGCTGCCCAACGTGCACGTTTGGTGCAGCTCCCAGGGTCCCTCCCCCGGCGCTTGCCAGTTTTGCGATCCAAGAGGCGCCTGTCCCTTTCACT